AATGACAAAAGCAATATTTCCTATGGTTGTGAAAAGGATTAGTCACAACAATTATTCCTTTTGCAGGATGAATTTGATTTCTCAATTTTGGTATGATGTTTAACTCTACGAAATGATCCTATCATAGTTGGACGTTAATGATGATGAAATGATGAATGTTTGATCATAAAGTTGGAGAAGTCTAATATATATATATATATATATATATATAGTAAATTTGTTTGGTGCTCCATGGTGCCCAGGCACCATTGTTGAAATTGAGTATATACCCAATTCAAATGAGTATGAAACTTTTTCAATTACTTAGTTATTAACATTAACTACTTTACTAACTAGTTTAAAGCAAGTTTGAACTGAATTTGAACTTTTTTTTGTTAGATTTTGATTCTAGGTATATAGCATCCATACATATAATTAGTTAGGTATGTAATCATGGATTGTGAAATAAAGTTAAATTTGAGTTGTTTTGTTGATAAGTATAGGTATGAATCAAATTATTATAACTAGGTATAATATATGTATATATATATATATATGTATATATATATATATATATGTATATATATATATGTGTGTGTATATGTATATATATATATATATGTATATGTATATATATATGTATATATGTATATGTATATATATATATATGTATATATATGTATATATATGTATATATATATATATATGTATATATATGTATATATATATATATGTATATATACTAGCAAAAATACCCGTGCGTTGCAATGGGTGAAAAAATTCTAATGATAATATACGTTTTTCATGCATAATCATGTCAATGGCAATGTTTGTATGGATCGTTTATAGACAACCTACTGATGCTTGATTTACCTAAAATAATTAGATTATTCATGTGATAACATGCATATAATCTAAAATACTCTTTCAGTCTCGTTCGTGCAACCAGTAACAGGATCAATTGAATCCTACACTGCCTTACATGATCAAGTCTACACAAAATAGAGTCACCGTGCACTCTTCTCTAAATAACAATTAAAAATATGTTTATTTTTTAATATTACATTTATGTTATCAAGAATAATAGCTATACTTAACAAAAATAGCCTGATATCTTAGACATGCAGGGTTTCCAATACTGTTGCTTTTTCCAATAAACGTTCGTTACATGAGAATAGATGAGGAAAGAAAAGCCGTGCAGGAGATGGAAAAAAATCAATGGATCCTATACAGCCCAAGCGTCTATCAATTTTATCTTGTGTTGAGTCGAATAGTTTTTAGGAGCGGTTCTTATTATAAATGACATTTTTTTTCTCGCGTTGAGTCAGACGGTTTTCTTTAACTTTTTTTTTAGTAATGGTGTTTTTTCTCTCGTGTTGAGTAAGACGGTTTTCTCGAACCGTTTTTATAGACAACGGTTTTTTCTCGCGTTTAATCCGATTGTTTTTCGATCCTTTTTTTAGAAACAGTGTTTTTTTTTCCTGATAGTTTTTCCAAAGCGGCTTGTTTTTTTATAAACAGTGTTTTTTTCATGCGGGGTTTTCTCAAACCATTTTTCAGAAATGGCGCATTTCTTTCTGACAGTTTTTTCCTAGCATGTTTTTTTTTGCTTTTTTTTTCTCTCGTGTTTTTTTTTTACTTTTTTGTTTCTGACATTTTTTTCTCGCGCGTCATTTTTTTCTCGTGCATTTTTTTTGCTTGTTTTATTTTCATTTTTCCAATACAGGAGAATAGACGACGAAACAAAAGTAGCGTAGGAGATGGAAAACAAATCGACGGATCCTATCCGACCCAAGCATCCATCAATTTAGCGTTTTTTCTCACAGTTTTTTCAGAGCATGCTTTATTTATATAAATGGTGTTTTACCTTTTTACTTGTGCGGTTTTTTCAAACCATTTTTTTAAAATAACACATTTTTTCTAATAGTTTTTTTTAAGCATTTGTTTGCGCTTTTTTCTGACATTTTTTTCTCGTGCGTTTTTTTTGCTTTTTTTTCAAGTGTTTTTTAAACCGTTTTTATTTTCTCGTGTATTTTTTCTTTTTAGTTCTACGATGTAAACTTTTCTTTGTAAATATTTTGATTAGATTAGATTAGATATAGAGAATAGATATTTACGGAGTACTAAAACAAATACGAATAGAAATCGGACTTTTTTTTTTGCCCTTTTTACTTTTTTTTTATTTTTTACAAACAGCTTTTTGTTGCCACTTTTTGAGGGAATCGGACGGATCTTTAGATGTTTTTTTGGTTTTTTAATTCTTTTTCGGATTTTTTTTGTTTTTCGGCCACTTTTCTTTTTTATTCCGCCTTTTACAGGTATTGTACTTTTTTTTCCTTTTTTAAGGGAAACGATCTACGGTTTTATTTTTTGTTTTTTTTTTTTTTGCCACTTTTGAATCGGACTATTTTTGTTAGTTTTTTTTTTGCTATTTTTCTCCGTCTTTTTCCCCTTTTTAAGAGATCGGAACTTTTTTGCCCGGGGGATCAGACTTTTTTTTGTTTTTTTTGCTTTTATTATTTAAACGGTATTTTTTCCCTTTTAGGGATCGGATCTTTTTTTTCCAGGGGAATCGGACTCTTTTTGTTTTGTTTTTTTTCGCTTTTTCTTATTTATTAAACGGACGAAGAAAATGTTTCTTATTTTTTAAGTAAACTAGCAAAAATGCCCGTGCGTTGCAATGGATGAAAAAATTCTAATAATAATATATGTTTGTATTTTGATGAGCGGCTTTTTTTTTATAAACGGTGTTTTTTTCTTGCACGATTTTCTCAAACTATTTTTTCAGAAATAGCGCATTTCTTTCTAATAGTTTTTTCTTAGCATGTTTTTTTTTCTTTTTTTACTGACGATGAAAACCATATTTTTCTCTTTTTTTTGCTTTTATTTTCTCGTGTGTTTTTTTTTGCATGTTTTTTCTAACAATCATTTTCTCGCGCGTTTTTTTCATGTTTTTTTCAAATGTTCTTTTTTGCTTTTTTCCAATACAGGAGAATATGTGACGAAATAAAAGCCGTGTAGTAGATGGCAAAAAAATCGATGGATTCTATCCGACTCAAGCGTCCATCAATTTAGTGTTTTTTCTGACAGTTTTTTCAGAGCGATTTGTTTTTTAATAGATGGTTTTTTTTCCTTGCGCGTTTTTTTCACACCATTTTTTTTAGAAATGGCGCGTTTTTTGATAGTTTTTTCCTCGCATGTTTTTTTAAAAATTTTTTACCGGCGATGGAAATAATTTTTCTCGCGCTTTTTTTTGTTTTATGGAAGATGTAAAACCTTTTTAGCGATTTTTTTGCCTTTTTTTTTGACTTTTTTCTCACGCGTTTTTTGAACAGTTTTTTTTATATAGTTAGATTAGATTAGAGATAAGAAGAGATATATATTGATTAGAAATCGGACTTTTGTTTTGTCCTTTCCTTTTTTTCTCAGGTGCATCTTTTATTTTATACAAACCAGCTTCTTATTTTTTACGAACCATTTTTTTTGCCCCTTTCTTAGGGAATCGGACAGACTTTTTTAGATGTTTTTTCGGATTTTTTCGCCTTTAAAGGAATCGCTTTTTTTACTTTTTTTCTGTTTTTAAAGGAATCGGATCTAGCGTTTTTTTCACCACTATTTTTTGCCTTTTATAGGAATCGATTTTTTTTCGGTTCGGATCTATGTTTTTTTTTCACTTAGGGGAAACGAACTTTTGTTGTTGTTGTTTTTTTTGTGCGGCTTTTCTTTTTCTTTTTATGCACCTTTTTGCTTTTGTTCTCTCACTTTTATCATTTTTTTAACAAAAACAACCTCAAGTACCTTATTGCAAGATTATAGGGACTCAAATGTAAATATAAAAATTATAGGGACTCGAATGCAAAAGTACAAACCCAAAAATTAAAATCATATAAAAATGGAATGCTCTCGACCTGTAGGTTCCATTGTTGCAAATAGATCTTCAATCTGACACATTAATTTTTTTCACCAAGATATATGGGATATCATAGTATAGATTGAAACCGAGAGGAGGGTGCCTGGGGTCGGTTTTTTTTTGGTTTCTGAGAGGAATAGGAGTCGGACCTTTTTTTTATTTTTTCGCTATTTTTTTTTGATGGACGGACTTTTTTTTTCTGAGAGGAATAGGAGTTGGACCAGAGGAATATGAGTCGGACCTTTTTTTTCGTTATTTTTTTGGTTTTTGACGGACGTAGGAAGCACCTCAGATTCAATCTGGTGAATTAAAGCTGAATCGAAAGGGGAATTCATGGGGGAAATAATGAGAGAATAGTGGGGAATCAGTTATTGCAACGAATAGAAGGAGGAAGCATATGGGAGGAAAACGGCGCTGGGTTTGGCCCGATGAAAAAACCGCAATAAAAATAGCAATAAAAGAAATAAACAGAAAAATTGGTGAAAGAAAAAACGGCGAAAAGAATATACGCAAAGAGGGGAAAAAGAAAACGGACAAAGAAAACCGGAAAAAAGTGAAAGAAAAAAAGAAACGGGAAAAGAAAATAAAACGGAAAAAAACAGAAAAAAAAGAAAATGAACAAAATTAGATGGGAATCGGATACGGTAGTTTTTTTTATTTTCGCCACTTTCTTATGGGGAATCGGACTTTTTTATTTTAGGTTGTTTCGCTACTTATTTTTTAAGTAGTAGTAGAAGTAGTAGATATATATATGTATATGTATACGTGTGTATATATATGTATACATATAGGTGTATATATATATATATATATATACGTGTGTATATATATATATATACGTGTGTGTGTATATATATATATGTATATATATATATATGTATGTATGTATGCAGGGTTCATCGTAAAGTTGGATTAGTCTAATTAATATGAAGCACGAGGAAAATGAGCCGCTTGATTTAATTGAACAATGGATATAATATTGTAGCTTCTACAGCACCTGTACATTATTTGTATTATTTATACAATAGAGGATCCATTTCCGGTCAAGAGATCAGTACACCTATACACGCATGTGCCAGCTCCTAGCTCAACTATAAACTATAAAGTATAGCTTGGTCTTGCAGCAATCAGGGTCCAAGAGAGAAAGAGGTACATATTGCTTGCTAGCTAGCTCGATCGCCAAGGAGGATGAGGGTGGCGGTGGTGGGCGCCGGAGTAAGCGGGCTGGCGGCGGCGCACGAGCTGGCGACGAGCTGCGCCGGCGGCGTCGACGTGACCGTGTACGAGAAAGAGGACAGCCTTGGCGGTAGTTTTGCGCGGACAGTCGGCGTCGATGGTGGCGCCGGCGGCGAAGTCGTCCATCTCCACCTCGGCTTCATGCCCTTCAACTCGGTGGGTGCACACATGAATATATATATGTTAGTTCTATATATCGTTTATTTCGTCCATCCTTGTATGAGACTAATTAGAATACGGACTTGCGCATTTGCAACGAAAGAGGATGCACTACTACAGAACATCTATGAATCCTTCGTAGGTGCCGGATTTACCAATTGACATCTCATTAACAACACTGCTGAGGAGAACTGGCACCTTTGATGCAGTTGCGAAGCCAGGATTTGAATATGGCCGGGGGGCCAATATGACAAGTGGCTACGATAATAAACAAAAATAGCTTAAAGTTATATGCAAATTTCAAGGTTTTTCATAGGTTTAATAGGCCCTGTTAAGTGGCTCGTCTGCTACTGCCTTCCAAGCTAGCCTCCCACTCCCCTCTTCCCTTAAAAAAAACTCTAAATCTCTCGCTCTCCTAGTACTCTCACCTCTCTCCTCCCTCATCCTCTCTTTCTTCCACATCTCTTCTCCTCTCCCCCTCTCCTCGAATCCAGGTGATGGGTGTGACGGGAGCGGTAGCCACACGATGGGAGACAAATGGCCACGTGGCGTGCCTCATCCTCTCCTCCTTCCGGGTGCGTGGCAGCAGTGGCGGAGAAGATGGGACGACGGATTTACTAGTGCTGGCCTCAGGGGCAACGGATCCATCGGCGTTGGCCTCAGGGATAGCGGATACACCGACTCCTACTCCTTCGACGCGGATCCCTCACCCTCACATTACACCGCAACACCAAAAAAAAGTCAGTTGTCTGTCGGTAATAAAAATTTTAGGTGCCACTCAGACTGTTAGGAAATATGTTGGCACACTGTGTGTTGGTAAAGGAATAAATCGTCAACAAATTGTCTGTCGGCAAAGATCAACAGTGGGTTATCTGCCACCAATTAGGCCTTACTGTCAAATCGTCAGTCGACATATCTAAACACACCCAGCCCAAAAATGTTTCATGGATTTTCAGCCAACAGTTGTGCTTTCTGTAGCCTCATCTCAGACAAGCTTTAGACCCGTCACCAATGAAGTCATAAGTGAATTTCATTCGTGACGAGTCACATTCGTCCATGAAAGATGTGTCATCACAGTTGATCATGGGTTCAGTTGGGCAGATCTACGGTATCGTAAATTCAATAACTGTCGATCTAAAAAAATCAATTAACTACCATTAAGGAATAACCTGGTAAAAACATTGGACAAAAAAGACCACTTACCTAAAACTCTATAATATAAGTTACATTGTAAAAAATCAATTAACTACCATTAAGGAATAAACTGGTAAAAACATTGGACAAAAAAGACCACTTACCTAAAACTCTATAATATAAGTTACATTGTTATATAAAAAAGTGCACACTGCAAAAATATACTCCCCTAGTACCAAATTACTTGTCGATGTCGTTTTAGCTTGTCAAAAGTAAAACAGTCCTACTGTTAACCACCAACTTATCTAGAAATACAAATAATTTAACAACATATGAATTATATATTATATATTATTTCATGGTGAATCTATTACGTTAATATATATATATATATATATATATATATATATATATATATATATATATAGATAGAAATTGATGATCAAAATGATTGTCCTATCACACCGCTAAAATGATAAATAATTTGAAACGAAGATAATTGTATATTTAAACTGAAAGAGTTGTGCAAGTACTACAGAAGCGTAACCATAGTTGATGAGTTTACCCTCTTTGATGATGCATAGGCTAAGGTGTGTTTGGATGATGCCCTAACCTAAGAGCTCTCACTTACTTAGGTAGGTCCATCGAACCAGAGGCACGAAATTGGACGCCTGAGAACGATGCCTAGCTCAATCGTGAATCACAGGGCTTGATCCAAACAACCCTTAGCACTCAATTAAAAATAGTTAGCTGTGTGAAAAGGAAGCTGTCCTATAGACCATTGTGTGTGGTTATGTAGTACATTAAAGCGGATAAGTGTGTTTACAAGAAAATAAATGAATATCCTGCCACATTGCTTTCTCATAAAAGTATGGCATTGTATGTAACATGCCACATTTAACTTAGCAGGATATATTTGCAAAAGGTTGATCATATATGTTATCATGCCATATGTTGAAGTGGAGTATCTCTCCATTCTATATATATGGCGAATCCATATATATCGGGGTTTCACTCTCTATAAACAAATATAACCACTTTAAGTATTTTAGATTTGTTCATAAATATAAATACTTTTATTCTATTAATCAACTCTCATTTACATTTATTTCTATATTACATGGATACGCTCAACCACACTGCCACACATATCTATCGCTGAAGATTTTTTCCCCTTAACCTTAGCAATTTGAAAATACTTATATCGGTGGATGCAAGCAGGGTTCCCCTTAGCGTTTTCGGCACGGTTATTGGACACCGCGGTAAGTTGGTTACCGCGGTAACTGCGTGGTTATCGTGAAAACCGCGAGACATAACGTGGTTTTAAAAATAAAAAGTTTATCATGCATGGTAACTGCGATAACCGCGTGGTAATCGTGTGCTAGTAAGTTTACAACAATACGAAGAGGGGTATATTAATTATCGATTTTTGACAAAATAATATATTTCTGTAACAAAAGATTAATAAATATATTTTTTAGAAAAACCGTTGCGAAATCAATCAGAAATTTCACCCAAGTCCTTCGCGGGTATCAGGCGGCGGCGGCGCCGCCGCTGGGCCATAGTTCCTTCCGCCGCCGAGACCTCGTCGGCGGGGTGGTAAGAGGCAGCCGGGAGGGGACGCGGGCAGTGCAACCGCAATCCCTCCGCTCAATGGGGCCGGCGGCGCCTTCTGCAGGTGCATCGGGTGAAAGGGGAGCGACGCTGCGCCGCGGCGGCGGATCCCCAGTTGCCGTCCGGCGAGCGTTGACGGCGCCGCCCAGCTGCGTGAGTGCGCAACCGTGGTAAGCGTGATTCGGATTATTAAATATTTTGGTCTTCATAATTATTCCCCCCCCCCCCAAAAAAAAAAAGGGTGCTTTCTCGATTATTAAAACCGTATTTTTTTTCTTTTGTGGTGCTGACATTGTACGGGCATGTCAAGAGCTTGCGATGTCAGCAATTTCTAGCTCTGTTGTAATGTACGAACTAGCATTTCATTTTGGTAATTTAAAACTAAAAAAGTCATGCAATGGATTATGAATTTGTCAATATATCAATTATAATTCTACCTAGGTTGGAGCAGAACTCTACTAGTAACTAGGGTTCACAATTCCGACGAAATCCGGTCGAAAACCGTATGTCCATGTACTAATGTACCTTCATTTCGTGGTTGAATCACTACCGTAGCATAGCATTGCACATAATATGATGGTATCACGCAGTACCTCAGATTTCTTGATCAATATAAGTGTATGATACATATATGCGAATGGTATATTAAATCACATTCCTAAACAAGAAAGAAGTAACCATTTGGGTGAATATGTCTTAAGGTAAATATCATTATAGATCTATATGCATTAGCCACTGGAGCTAGGCAGCTACGGCCCAACCATTTCGGGGCATAGCCATGTGGATCAACACTGATCTCATCAACCAGCGTTCTACCATACTCTCACATCATTCTCCATGGAAATTGAGCATACCATCCAGGATGAAATTTCTTTTGCTCTATTTCAATTCATTTCAGAAATACCATATTCTCAATGGAAATTAGAAAGGAAATACACCAGTTCTGATTTTGCACAACTGGTGGAAGTATTGAACATTTCCTTTAAATGGCCTTTGCTGAATATATTTAGTGAGTGGCAGACAACCATTTAGTTTTTGGATTCGATCGTCTCACATAAACATACTTATTTCGCATATCAGCTATGGATGGCTTTGAAACAATTGGTGTGTGAGGGAGCTGTTCTTGGGTAGTTCGAGCATTAGAAACAATGCACTCTTTGATTCTGAAAAATAAGATGTCAATATATATGTTCCAATGAACTCATCATTTTGTTTTGCCAATGTCATCAGTAATTGTCCATTTCACTTAGACATGACAGAGCAGAGAGGATGAAAATGAAGAGCGAGGGTAATCAGTATCAGATACTGTCTGCTGAAGTGTTGAGCAGGATAAGCGTATATGTGTTGCTGATATGATGGTAACTGATTGATGGAGCTGTCTCAGGACAATGAGCTTTTGTTTTGTTTATGCCGTGACTGTGCTCCTCCTTTTTATCCATTTTTTTCACCATTTCTTCTGTACTTGGCTTACTGTTTGTTGAGTAAGTGTCTGGGATGAAGGCTGCTTGCAGCTATTGCGGAAACTGACACTTAATACATCTTGTCCCTTCAATCAAAGAATTTTTCTAGTTTTCACCTCTAATGGCCCTGTGTTATCTATCGTCTACAGTTCGGAGATTTTTTCTATTGCTTACATTTATGCATTGATTACAGGTAACATCCCCAAACATGATGCAATGGTTTGCAGATCTTGGGGCCAATATGGAGAGATCAGACATGTCCTTCTCTGTAAGAACACAATTGGATGCTTGTGGTGAATGTGAATGGGCCAGCAGCAATGGCATCTCAGGCCTCTTGGCAAAGAGGAGTAATGCGCTCAGCCCCAGCTTTTGGCGCATGATCAGTGAGACACTCAAGTTCAAGAGGGATGCTCTCAGGTGAGCTAGTTTATTAGTCCACTAGTTATTTTGTTAATTGGTAGAAACACAACAGTTTCATGCGCTAAAATAATGCCCTACCTATTTGATTGAAAAATATGAGCGAATTCTACTGTGTAATTGAATTATTTGTTTGTTGCTTAATTTTCAATTCAAGGTACTTGGAGGATTGTGAAAACAACCTTGATCTGGAACAGAGCGAGACTTTGGGGCAATTCGTTCAGTCCCATGGATATTGTCAGTTCTTCCAAGAAGCTTATCTTGTACTAGCCCTATCCAATTAGTTATGTTACTTTTTGATATACATATATGTCTGCACTGTTGAGTTGTGAGTTGTGATTTGTTAATTGTGGCATCTCCTTGTCTTGCTTGAATCACCTTTTTTGTTTGGTAGCAATAATATATGTTTGCTGCAGTTTCCAATCTGTGGTTGGATGTGGTCATGTCCATCACAAAGAGTTTTGGGCTTCTCTGCTTCCTCTGTGCTGTCGTTTTTTCGTAAGCATAATCTCCTTCAGGTGGCGATTTCATATGTTTTTGTTCCACATTGCTTGCTTTATGTTATTACATCTGAACTAGGCATAGTTTGCTGCTGCTAATTCATTCAATGGGATCATGCATTTTTCGCAGTTGTTTAGTCGCACCCAGCCGCTCATTGTCAATGGTCGCTCTCAGTCCTATTTCAACAAGGTACTTTAGAATCTTGCAGTATAACATAGTTGAGCGCTTATCGGAGGAAGCACTACACATTATATTGTTATTAGGCTGTAGATGCTATTAATTACATGCATGGTGCAGTGATTGTTCATCACAATTACTACTGCATACTAGCAGGTAAGAGAAGATCTGGAAAGCAGGAGCTGTCGAATAAAAACTAACTGCCATGTGAAATCCATTTCAAGTTTTGACAGAGGTACATGCATTACTGTGCTGCAAAGCTCGTGGTTAATTTCATCCTTTCCCTATAACAGTTTATGACAGCAACACAGAAAATAATGAATGAACTCACAGTTCATTGAGTAAATGAAACATTGTTATGTTTCTGGCTTCAGGTTACAGAGTCTTAGAGGTTGATGGTTCAGAGGAGATGTATGACAGAATCATAGTTGGTATCCATGCACTTGATGCTCTAAAATTACTAGGAGCAGAAGCAACACATGAAGAATCAAGAATTCTTGGTGCTTTTCAGTATGTCTCTAGGTATTGCCTGCAGCCTCCTATTGCTTAAAAGATCTCATATATTTTAGTTTGATGTAACTAGCACAAGATGCCCATGCATTGCACTGGATAAAAGCAATTTCAATTGTTATAATCATATGTGATTTTAATATTAAATGCTTGGGATTCAATTCAGACATCTTAGCGTGATTGTATATCAGGGAGCAATCCCAATATCTACTCGTAAACATGTCCATCTTTGCATCGGGGAGGTTAAATAGATGTGCATGCATATGACACTGAAAAACCATTTTTTGTGATACCCCTTTCTTGTACACGCGGTCGATAATAAAATCTGCCTGTAAAAATACACCCTGAGTCATCGATCATGGACCTCCTATGAAAATCAGTCATCTCAATAAGATCGTATGACGACCATCTTAAGAAACTGCTTGTAGAAATCATTATTTTTATAGGCACCCCCCTTAGAGTACCACCTGTGAAAACAGGAGTATTTTCACAATTGGGCCATAAGGTCCTCTTATGCGGTGATGGGCCTCAGGACAGTGGCAGTGGTGGCTCGGGCAAGTTCAAGGTGGTGCTCCCTCCCCTTGCGCTGGTGGTCGATGGATGTGGTGGTGATGACTGGATTGGTGAGACCAGGGAGGGCAGGGAAGGGAGCTTCCCGGCACTGACATTGGTGGATGACGTGGACAGAAACATGGGAAAGCCACTGGTAGCCAGTGCTGTCGTCGAGCTGCACCTCCCCATGCTGGACCTTTCTCGAGCCACCTTGAATTTGGAAGTTCTTTTTTCGAATATTTGATTGGGAAGTTTTGTGAGTATGGCTTGCTTTGCTAGAAATTGTTGGAGATTTGCTAGCCTTTTGTAACACTGATTTGCTAGCCTTTCTGGGAATTGTGGAAATTGCTATATTTTGATTTTTTTTTTACTGAAAAACAGTGCACAGACGTTCATGTTGACTAACTTGCCTGCAAAAATTGGCTTTTATTGGCAGTCCTCTTAACGATCCCACACACACAAAAATTGATTTTTGCATGAAGATTTTGATTTTCAGAGTTGTTTTTATTGTGGCGAGTAGTAAAACCACCTCCTCAAATGGATTTTGCCCACCATTAAGCCGAGAAGACTAAAGATAAATCGCCAATTAGCAGAAGAAAAGGATATGATGGTAGACCGGAGCATATCTTCCTTTTCTCAATGAAAGGCCCAAGATTATCTCAAACTAAGCTTAAGAAAAAGCCTGATTCAATTCCCTGCTTAAGCACAGCCCAAAACTTCTATCAGGATTGCTGGATTTTGTGTAGGGTCTTTTGCATATGTGCATAGGTGTGTGGCAAGTTGAAATATAGGAAATCAATCTCATTCAGAATATGAACGCTTGCACACAGACATGAATCAGACAACAGAATTGGACGGCGATTGAATCGGCATGAAGTCACTTTTATCCAAAACTCTTTCCTGAGTGCTCTCGGAATCGCGATCTATTGGATAGACGACGACATACCAAGATGTTGGCAGAAACATCTTCAATTTCTATAATAGTAGAGATTAGTGTCTATAAAGACTTACATATATGCCTCGGTTTCCATTGCAGTAATCTATATCTTCACTGCGATGAAAGTTTTATGCTATGTAATTCATCCACATGGAGTGCCTGCAACATAACCAGAACAAGAAGCGGCTCTGTCTGTGTCACATACTGGTTGAATCTGCTTCAGGTACCTAGCAAATACCAAGGCGGCTCCATATAGAACATTAATAAGACTGCTTTAATTGTTTTTTTATATGCATGGATGGATAATGAATGTAATAGCCTGTTGATATCTTTTCTTTCAATTACCAGAACATTGAATCTACAAATCATTTTCTCGTGACATTGAACCCCTCTTATGTTCCTGATCATGTGTTGCTTAAGTGGAATACAAATCATTTTGTTCCGACTGTGGCTGCTTCAAAGGCTTCTCTTGAGCTTGATCAGATCCAGGGCAAGAGAGGTATATGGTTCTGCGGGGCATATCAAGGTAGCTTATTTCATTGATTCTAAAACATGTACATATACAAAAATTATATTTTCCCTTAATTAGTTTAACTTGTAGGTTACTGACAAGTGACAAGCATATATGCATGTCTGAACATCTATGTATAGCAATTTTTCACTGCATCAGTTAGATCTGAATTCTGTTCTGTCCTGGATCACAGGATCTGGCTTCCATGAAGATGGATTCCAGGTTTTTCCTGAATAACCTGTGCACACACATTTGAGTTTCAAGCACATAACCATTATATGATCTGTGATCATGTTGGGTATATTGACTTGATGTAGGCTGGCAAAGCAGCAGCTCAAAGTTTGCTTGGGAACAAGATTGATCCCCTGACGAACCCAAAGCAGATGGTCCTGTCATGGACAGAGACTGGGGCACGTCTTCTGGTGTTAAGATTTCTCAAACAGTACATCTCTGTTGGCAACTTGATGTGAGTACTCGTATAAATTGATACACAATGCAATGCATGGTTAAGTAGTTAAACACAATGCAATGCATAGTTAAGTAGTTATGATTCTTGCTTTACTAACTTCCCGTATGTGTAGCTTGTTTGAAGAAGGTGGCACTATGTTCAGTTTTGGTGAAGCTTGTGAAAAATGCAATAAAAAATCTGTTCTGCAAGTTCAGGACCCACTATTTTATTGGCAGGTTCTCTTCTCCAGAAAAAAAGTCAATACATTTTCCAAATCAGTGATGCATCTGTGCGTTGATCCTGTCTGACTTGCTGTTTCTCAGGTTGCAACAGAAGCAGACCTTGGTTTAGCAGATGCCTACATAAATGGCTGCTTCTCTTTTGTCAATAAGAGAGAAGGCCTTCTGAATCTTTTCCTTGTAATACTATATATTTTAGTTCATTACTTTCTTGGTAAAGCAATATCCATAGTGCTATTTATTAATCGGTTTTCAGACTTAACCCATCAGGCTTTTTTACTGCAGATCCTCATTGCCAGTAGAGATGCACACAGGAGTTCTTGCAGGAATTCTAGTCGAAGGTATCAAGTCCTCTGCTCTTCACTAAATCCCTTTCGACTGTTTGATCAAAATGAAGTAGCATATGTTGTGTGAGATTATCAGTTTGATAAAAATATTGCCTTGTTCTCAGGGGTTGGTGGACACCCTTGCTTTTTACTGCCGGCGTTGCATCTGCTAAATATTTTCTGCGTCACATCTCAAGGAAGAACTCTGTAACACAAACTCGTCAAAATGTCTCTCAGCACTATGATTTGGTCAGTTTGTATATGTCCTTTTTTAATTATCTATCAAAATTAACAGATCTAACTCCTTGCTGAATGATGACTTAGCTCAAAATAGTTAGCATGTTGATGCTTTCTCTGCCTATACAGCTTCTGGATGCTTGATAATTTTCTTTAATTCCCATGTCTACATAATTGACTAGTCAACAAGAGTTACCCTTTCTTATCCTATATATTTTACCTGCAGAGTAATGATTTCTTCTCGCTTTTTCTGGATAAGTCAATGACCTACTCATCTGCCATTTTCAAGGTAAGTGAAACATATGAATTTTTCCGCAGCTTGTAAATTATCATAAGAATATGTTGGACTAATGCACAGTTGATTTATTGCCCTATTAATTTGTTAGGATGAGGAAGAAAGCTTAGAAGAGGCTCAGCTGCGTAAAATAAACCTTCTAATCCATAAGGTGATAATTCTATCATATAGTAGTTTTTGTGTTTCCACCTATCTCTCTCTCACCACATAATGAGAGAGAACATATGTCTTGATCGATATTTACTATGAAGATGAACCCGACCCTTTCTTATCTATATACATGGTCTGATGTTCCTTCAATCTTTTACATGTCCACTTAATGAAAGGCTAAAGTGGGACAGGATGATGAAGTTCTTGAGATTGGTAGTGGTTGGGGCAGTTTGGCTATGGAAGTGGTGAAGCAAACTGGCTGCAAATATACAGGAGTTACACAGTCTGTGGAGCAACTTAAATATGCCCAAAGAAGGGTGAAAGAAGCTGGCTTAGAGGTTGCGTACTATTTACTCTCTCTCCCTTTCACATCATCTGCGCATATGATTTACTGGAATCAGTTTTAGTGTTAGTTTAGTCTCCTATTTAAATATGTATGGTGAAATCCCTGATAAGTTAGCATTAATAATAACTATATATTTTTATTTATTATCAGGACCGAATAACTTTTCTGCTGTGTGACTACCGTGAAATACCATGTCACAAATATGACAGGATCATATGCTGGTAAGTACTAGTACTACCATGTGAGTTTCAATTGAAATAGAGTAATCAAGTTGGTTTTCTCCCATCACCTGAAAAATAAAGTTGGTTATCATCGATCAACACTGGGTACATGTTCATGTGATTCCGCCAGTTACTAATTGCTTCCAGCCTATTGCATAATTCATCAGTGAGATGATTGAAGAAGTTGGTCATGAATACATGGATGAATTCTTTGGCTGCTGTGAGTCCCTTTTGGCTGAAAATGGCATATTTGTCACCCAGGTGTGTACAAACAACCTTTGTCATTGTCATTGACACTGACTGTTGATATATCCCACTTAAATTTACATGGGATTATTCCAGTTTATCTCAATTCCGGAGGAACGGTATGATGAGTACCGGAGAAGCTCAGACTTTATTAAAGAATACATATTCCCTGGTGGATGCCTTCCTTCTCTGACTCGGATAACATCTGCCATGTCTGCTGCATCAAGGCTCTGGTATGTTCAAGATCAGTCAATTGATGCTCAATACAATACAGTGCTCACACTCGTACATTGATTTATTGGTTTTGGATTGGATGCACGTCGAGTTCATTTGCAGCATTGAGCACGTTGAGAATATTGGGTACCATTATTATACAACTCTGATACGCTGGAGGGACAACTTCATGGCCAATAAAGAGTAAGTACAAGCATGGCCTTCTACTCAAAGTGAGCAACTAGTACCAATAGGGTATGTGTTACACAGAGGCCCAAAAGAGTTGAAATTTCAGAAATTTTAGTCAAAGCACAGACCCTGCCTTGTACTTTGGCAGTGTTAAAAGTGTCCTTTCCAATTTCTTTTATCTCCAATTGAACAATAATGTTAAAATGATAGCCATAGTGTGTTCTAGCAAATTACCATAAAACAAGAGTGTCCTATGGCAAAGACATGTTTTTGAAATGTCTTACGGCAAATGGCACAAAATTATGGTGCCATAAGCCTGCTGAGCAAGCAAATGCAGAAAGTAGCAGTTCAAAAATCCAAAGTATGAACACACAGTATGGCAGTTCAGAGTTTACACAGAATTTCCCTCTTGTATTTTCAGTAAAATTTTGGCCCTGGGCTTTGATGAGAAGTTCATTCGTACATGGGAGTACTATTTCATATACTGCGCAGCCGGTTTTAAATCCAGGACACTTGGAGACTACCAGGCAAGTACTGTACTACTGTACGTATGAACATATATAGAGAACTATTTATTACTCACTTGGTTGCTTGACCCTTTCAGATTGTATTCTCTCGTCCTGGGAACACCAAGATGGGATCTGGCTTCTAAACTCAAAATTGACCTCTGCCCTAGAGCACGAGCCAACCTATTTATCTTTGCCATTGTGTAATAATTTACAGGAAACTTTGGTCTTCATGCTTGAAGATCATGTTTGAAAAAAAATGAATAAGTCTATATTTGAAATCCTTCAACTATTGGCGACTCAATCCATGAACTTTAAAACAGGACAAAGTACAACCCTGGAGAAATTACCGCCATTGCTTGTTTGAAGGCATGTTCTGTGCCATGTCACCCTTGTTTGGAGGGGTGACTAGTAAATATTCTGATGATCTATTACCTCAAATAAATTCCATATGGTGTATATACACGATGCAAGATGCATTGCTTGTCCTAGCATTGTTCTTGCCATCTGAGCGCATTAAAGATATGTTGGGTTTGGTTTGGTTTTAAAAATGAAGGTTACCATATTTTGGTAATGTGAATTTTCTGTACGGAAGAATGATTTGAATGTGTTAAGAGAAACATGGAGGTGTTTGCAAGCCGATTTGATTATGGATATTTTGAGAGTTCACAAATTACTAGCATATGATGTCGTGCATTCGCGTGACTCTATGCCTCCTATTACGTGGCATGTGGGGGTGGCAATCCATTTTTCATGGGTTTCTCATCGCTATAAAGAAAAAACATAAGTCATTTATTGCAAAATTCATATTTGCCTGAGTCATTGTTTTATATGTCATCGTGGTTGCAAAACCCCTTATTTTCTATTGCGTGCACTCTTTATAGCCTACGTATAAATTTTTGTATGTTTTTAAGGCATGAGTTTGGGTTCATTTTAAATTCGTGTGAAAATCATGATTGTGCATGTAGAAATATTTTCCTCAAATATATTAACAATTAAAATATTTATTGTAAAATTCATATTTGCCCGAGTCATTGTTTTATATGTCTTCGCGGTTGCATAACCCCTTATTTTCTATTGCATGCACTTTTTATAGCCTACGTATAAATTTTTGTATGTTTTTAAGGCATGAGTTTGGGTTGATTTTAAATTAGTGTGAAAATCATGATTGTGCATGTAGAAATATTTTCCTCAAATATATTAACAATTAATTGTTCCAAACAAAATTAATTATATGAACGTACATTTGTATATGTTCTTAAATAGCTCAATCTTGACAGGTGAATATAAGAGAGTTTATTTATAAAATAGTTTTTTTTATTATAGGAGCAAATCGTAAATTATATGTATAACCTTGTACCATCCTATGTCTATTTTCTATCTTTTTTTCCTTCCTTTCTTTCCTCTTCTAATAGCTTTGTCTCCAAAAGCCTCTTTAATTATTGATTTTACCATCCATTTAATCCAATAGTCAAGATTCATTTATTCTTTTCCGTCCTATAGTGAATCCAATGGCAAATATTTATCGAATGATGTGGCTCATTCTCGTTTTATTTTGAGTGTCACTTTTCATTAGTTTGTTACCGGCTACTAAGGTATTTAAAGTGTTCGGTTATGTTCTCTTATTGAAATAGCATAAGCATAGCCAGAGACACTTTGGGCCTATTCAGATTGTAGCCAAAATAAACCTTACCAAATTTTGGCAAGTTGGCAATATTGCCAAAATTTTGGCATGATTCCTTATGTATTTATCAAAATTTAGCAACAAATTAAACGTATACACATTTTTGGTAACTTTGCCAAAAAAAGGTATGATTGAAAATAACATCAATCTGAACAGCCCCTTTGTGAAGCGTTTTGTGTTAGTTTATCTTCAAGGCTTTGTGTTTACCTGAACTAGGCTGAGTTTTACAAACGTTGGGAAAGTTTGGGACAAGATTTGGATTACCCAGATATCGAAAAAGGAATAGCTCCATCATTTCGTTTAAGCTTATCAAATACAACTAAAATTTAAATTTTAGATCTTAATTTTATAATTTTGATTTTTTTTATCGTACTTTATTTTCTACTATTGGCTTTTAACTCTTCTCATTGCATGGCAAAGATGCAAAGATATATCACTGGCAGATAGAGCAGGGTAATCAGCACAACAGTATATTCTACACCCCCATAGAATAACTTAACATGACATGACATAGAATTTCCATTAATAGTGGATGACAATTTACATAACCAATGTTTTTCTCAAACGATTATATCTAGTCCTTATCATTCTCAAACCAAAAGTAAATCTTTGAAATCCATGGAGATGAATCGAATTTCGCACGTATCACCACCATCGACGATTCACGATTGATGTCGAACCAAAACGAAAGATAATATTACTGTCAACGGCTAACATCAAACCAGAGCAAAAGATCGATAATGCTGAAGAGTAACTGAGTTGTACATATAAAGTCAATCTTGTACAGCTATATAATAATACATGTTCGGAACATGCACACAACAGCAAGAGAGAGAGGCATGTGGGAGCTCATGCTTGTCTCCCAAATATTCCAAACTTGGAATCCACAGAAATAGTATTAAAAAGAGCTCATCCTCGTTGTCACCTTCAGGTTGATCCTAAGCATGCCGACGTGGATGCTAAATCCTTCCGGATTACTGCACGGATTTGTATATCTCCCCTTCGATCTCCACCGAACTTCCAGCCCAATCATGGTCGTCGTTGGATCGAGCTGATCATGTAGCTAGCGTGTGGTATCATGGGCCAGATTGTACTGCTACCACTTCAGAATTAAGCCACCTATGTCGTCTCTCTCGCTGCAGGCTGCAGCTGCCTGCCTTTGATCTTTCTTATCTCCTTCTCTTCCTCCTCGATCCATGGTCAAGTGATCGTATCTTCAATTCCTACAATGGCGATGCCGTGGGAGACGGTGGCGTGCATCCTGCGGAACGTGTGGGCGCTGCTCGACGGCTGGATCGCCGTCTGCTGCCTCGCCGCCGACGAGCTCGCGGGCCTCCTCCGCTCGGCGCTCGGTTAGCTGATCGACGACGTGCTCGATCGGCGCGCGTGGCCGATCGAGCTAACTAACTACTCCACTAATTAACTGCAGGTTCGTCGGTTGCTTTATCATTCTTGCTCTGGTTGATCATTGCTTAATTCCTTCTCAAGTAATGCTTCTGTTCCTGCATATGTGTATATTTTGGACAATGCATGTTTCTTAGTTACTCCATCTCTCTCTCTCTCTGCTTAATTAGACCAGTAGAACTTTATTTCTGTGGTAATTTTATCATTCTTAAGAAAGTATCGGGAGCAAGGGCGGACCCATAATTTTAAAGTTGTGTATTCGAAATATAAAGGAGCCAAAAAAATTTTAATTAGCATGCACGAATCATCGAAATGAGCCGCTAGACTTGCACAAATTAGGCCATTAGAGGAGAGAGAGGATGGAGCAAGGCCTAGAAATATGGTTTTATTTGTTTTATTTAAATATATTTATATATAAATATAATTTTATTATATATATGTATTACATTGTATATACTTATTTTGTTTTGTAAAAAAAGAAATGAATACCCTTCGTCCACCTCTGATCGGGAGGTACCATATTTTCTATTGTAAATTCGGTACATATAAGTAGAAATATCTTGAAATACCAAAAATTTTATTGTAAAATCTCAATAGCTCGAGGTACTTTCTCATTAAACCATAAAGTTTCTCTTATTTTTCACATAACTCATTTTCTCACTTACATATGGGACTTGGATCATCTTGTTGGCACGAATTTGCTAGCGAGCTATGATAATGTACCTGCTTACATCATATGTTCGCTGCAGGCAGTTGGAAACATATCTCCCACGTATGAAAAATGGAGCGGTCCATTAGCACGTGATTAATTAAGTACTCTCTCCGTCCCAAAATATAATAACCTAGGATGGGTTCCATCCTAGGACTACGAATGAGTCATATCTAGATTTATAGTTTTAGGATGGCCATGTCTAGATTGACCCATCCTAGGTTGCTACATTGTGGGACGGAGGGAGTATTTGCTATTTTTTTAAAAAAGGATCGATATGGTTTTTTAAGTAACTTTCATATAGAAACTTTTTGCTAAAAACACACCGTTTAATAGTTTGAAAAGCGTGCGCACGGAACACGAGGGAGATGGGTTGAGAACCCTTGCTGCCGAACTAAGCCGACCTCACTCTCTCGTTTACAGCGCGCACGCTTTTCAAACTACTAAACGGTGCGTGTTTTGTAAAAATTTTCTATAGAAAAGTTGCTTTAAAAAATCATATTAATCAAAATTTATAGTTTTTTTAGCTAATAACTAATTAATCATACATTAATCCATTGCTCCATTTTACATGTCAGAGGTGAGGGTTTCACCTAGGAACACGGCCAAGGATGTGTTCTTGGAACCCTCACCTTCCGCACGAAAAACAGAGCGATGGATTAGTGCATGATTAATTAAGTATTAGCTAAAAAACTTTTTAAAAAAATAGGTCGCTATGAATTTTGAAAGCATCTTTACTGCGGAAAATTTTTACAAAAAATACATAGTTGGTGAAACGTGTGTGTGGAAAAAAGGAAGGAGAGGATGGGAATCAGCTGAGCCGAACACAACCATATGGTATCTACAGACGATTTGTAGTGATGAAACTTGTTTGGTAGCAATATACATTATTATCGAAAACCATCGTCATTTGAACAAAAATCACATTTGAACGAAAACCATCGTCATTTCAACAAAAATTACATTTGAAGATAATATTAATCCGGATTCATGATTTTGAGTTTAAAAGTTTACCAGGTTTTAAATTTAGCGTTAATACTGCACTCAGAACGAAGTTTGAGGTAAACAACTGAATTTTTCAAAATAAAAATAAAAGCCAAACTCTGCATAAGCTTTTGATTTTTTTTTTTCAGGGGAACTTCGCATAAGGTTTAGCCGTCAAGTATGCTATTGAATGAAATAACCCCCTACTCTTCTAAACTGACAAACAGTGGAATCAAATCAAATAGTATATATCAGATAGAAAAGGTTCAACTTTGAAATTCATTTTGTCTTTGCTGATTTGTTTATTTAAACCGATGATCACCAAACGACAGTGGTATTTCCAGCGGGGTATAGATGGCCATTGGACATTGGACAAAATCAATCGAGCCAATCATACGTTTGCTATTATTGGTCAGAACATGGCCAGATGGACACATGTATGACAAGTGATACTATTTATATATAAATTACATGAGTAAGCTTGTCGTCAATCATGTAGTAACTGAAACATGATGGTCGCCAGCTCTAGTCTGCTACTTGAGACTTTGAATTATGTGATTTGAAGAATCGACTGATATCGATCTGTTTTCGTGAAAACCACCCACATAAACAATTGTTTTAGACCCTGGGAAGTGTAATTTTGTCTCCCTTTTCGATTTCAGGTCTTTCATGTTGCACGGAGAAGAGGCTGATCGATGTACAGACAATTTCTTTTTTTTCTTTGTTAATGTAACTATGTTAATGGTGAAGTGATCATGCCTTTTTGTTCTGAAAAAGAAGGTAGATCAATTAATGTACAGACGTGAATGTGCAGGATATATATTGTAAATTTTGAACTTCATTTGTTATAGATTAATTATTGATGTATACACGAGGCTCTTTAGCAGATTTTACTTGTTCACTACTCCCTCCGTCCCATAAAAAACCAATCTACTTCTAGATGTGACATATCTTGATTCTACGAATTTGGACATTTATCCAAATTTATAGTACAGATATGCCACATTCGTTTTTTATGGGGCGGACGTAGTACACCACACCAAAAAGGAGGCCGCTGTCGGTATTTTTTTTCGCTAGCACTCAGGCCTTATTTAATTCGCGAAAAGAAAATTTTTGTGTGTCATATCGAACATTTGACCGGATGTCAGACGGGGTTTTGGGACATGAATGAAAAAACTAATTTCATAACTCGCTTGGAAACCGCGAGACGAATTTATTAAGCCTAATTAATCTGTCATTAGCACATGTGGGTTACTATAGCACTTATGGCTAATCATGGACTAATTAGGCTCAAAATATTCGTCTCGCGATTTCCAAGCAAAATGTGCAATTAGTTTTTCATTTTATCTATATTTAATATTCTATGTATATATCCGAAGATTCGATGTGATATTTATGGGAAGAAAATTTTGGGAACTAAACAATGCCTCGATATGCCGGGAAATGTCCTGTCACAGTGTCTACTGGTGAAAATTCTGTGGTAGTAGTTGTTTGTCTGTCGACACGTGTAGATATGCATCTAGCTTGCCAAAGATTCTGAGGCGACCTAAGAGCTATTTTAGACTCTCTATATGTCCATTTAGCCAACTGTTTAAAAAAATTAGCTAGTCATATTTGCCTTTTACTCCAATAGTCTCTCCATCTCACTCTCCAATCTTATAGTGGGTCCCACATGTCAGTCTCTATTACTTCTCCCCTTTCCCACATGAGCCCGCGTGCATGCGGATGAGGCGGCCACGGAAGGAGGTCGACGAAGCCACGGAGGGGGTCGCCATGCAAGATCGGCGGTGGTCGAGACGGCGGTGGGGGCTGCAGCCAGAGCTCCAAACGGCAGATCCGGCGGCGGCACTCGGCGGGGGATTCGGCGGGCGGATCCGGCGGTGGCACTCCCTCGTTGACTCCCCTGTGCCGTCGGCGGGCGACCGAGCGGACAGATGGCGGAAATCGGCGGCGAAGACGACGTTGCTGCTGCTTGCACCAGCGAGAGGCGGCGGCGATGCTGCGCCTACTCGTGCCGGCAAGCTCGGCAGCGAGCGGGCATACCTCTCCATCGGCGACGGCGACGAGGAGTAGGAGGCGCATACGACGGGAGGCGACGACGATGGGAGTCAGCTTCGACGAGGATTTGGCCGCCGCCGCCGCCACCAAGATTGGCGCCTCCGTCGTGCCATCCCCGTTCGCCGCCGCTAGCTGCTTTGCCGAGGCGTGCGGCGGTGCCGACGACGGGCGCCGGGCTGAGAAGGGTGTGGAGCCGAGGAATCCGGGCGGCTGCGACCCGCAGCGCCGGTGGGTTGGCGAGACGACGCTGGTGACGAGGAGAGCACGAGTCAGGGACGCGGACCGGTGGTTCGACGCCTCCTCCGAGTTCGACGCCGCCGTGCCGCACAGCATCGATGCTGCGCCGGGAGGACAGCAGCGGTGGCGCTAGGCGGATGGGGCGGCGGCGCTAGGTGAATAGGGCGCTGGGAGGATGACGGCGGCAACACTGGGAGGATGGGGTGGCGGTGCTGGGCAGATGGGACGCCGGGAGGACGTCCGGCGGCGGTGCTGGGCGGATGGGGAAAGGGGGAGAGAGAGGATAGAGGAGGTGGGACCCACACCAGATGGCAAGCCGTCCTGGCTAGCCAACTTTGGTCAATGAGGTTGGGAATTTAGCCAGTCGGATGGTTTGGAGAGCCATTTGGCTAGTTTGTTGGAGTAAATTTTTTATCCAATTTAGCTAAATTTTAGCTTGGAGAACCATTTGGCTAGTCTCTTATAGATGCTCTAGATAGTGGGGCGGGAAATGAGAGGCGGCAAGGAGGGAAAAGTGGCGGGATGTGAAACTTTCAGGGCTCTCTTTCCCCCATTCCATTTCCTCGATCTGAAATCAATCCCCACACAAAACACCCACACCAAACCAATCCCCACACCAGCAGCCCTTCCCCCATCCACAATAGCCATGATGCATCGCCTCTGCTGCTTCATTGTCCGTACGCCGCCTCCAACGAGCTAAGTGTTCCTGCTCAACGACCCAGGAAAGCTTTGGACGGAGCACGAGAAGCACGACCTTCACGCCCCTGGCTAAGTCTGGCACACATGGAGAAGAGAAGAGAAAAGAAGAGAAGAGGAGAGAAGGAAAAAAGGCTATTATAGCTAGCTACAGCACGAACTTCAATACGTTATGTGTGTATGAGATGTGAGACCATATGTTAATGATTTATAGATAACTAATGTATGAATGAGCTGTTATATTGGCTATAAATGATTTGTAGCTAGTAATTGGGTATACTATTAAACTTGCTCTGAGGAAGCAATGGCTTATCTATAAATTTTATATGAATGGTCCAACTTATATAATTTTTTTAAACACCTTAAATATAACTAAGTTAGAAATATCTATTGATTAAATATGTATCATAATATATTTATAAAATATTTATAAAGGAGCTTTTTTCTCCTTTTTTTCAAAAGTTTATTTTCATATATCTATACTTTCTATATTGTTAGTACCCACTGATAATTATTACTTCATCTGTCCCTAAATATAAGGGATTTTAATAGGATGTGATATATTCTGTCCAGATTCGCTGTACTAAGATATGTCACATTCCACCAAAATCCCTTATATTTAGAGACGGAGGTAGTAAAAGCTAAACCTCAACATCCAAACATGTCACCTCATCAGCTACTAACAATGAGCATCTAAAATTTTATACGAGCATGACACATCATCTTCTCCCCCATATTATTTTCATAGCATTTTAACATCATCATTTGTACAATATTTTACATATATTCATGCATCAATTCCGTAGCAAAGCGTGAAATACCACCTAGGTATATATATGCATTTGGCTATGATTTTTGAGTAAAGTCCATCACCGGTCCCTAAACTTGTACCGCCGTGTCATCCCGGTCCCTAAACTCGCAAATCGACCGTTCAGGTCCTCAAACTTGTTCGACTGTGTCATCCGGTCCCTAAACTTACAGATCACTCGTTTAGATCCTCCAACTTGTTCAGTTGTGTCACCCCGGTTCTTAAACTTGGATTTGAATATCATCTAGGTCAAATAGGATGGTCTAAAGACTTTATATTTAAAAATAATTCATAACTTTTTCATGTGAATTCTAATGAAGACAAACTTTATATCAAACTTGTAGCCCTCGACGCGATCTACAATTTTGTAGTTGAATTTTTTTTATTTTAAGTCATTTTTTGTCCCAAAATGTAATTTTAAAATTAAAATTTTAAAATCTATAAACATGCAACATTATTTTGGGACCCTAAACAGTTTTAATTCAAAAACTTTTCAACTACAAAGTTGTAGGTCACGTCGAGGGCTACAATTTTGATATAAAGTTTGTCTTCATTAGAGTTCACATGAAAAAGTTATGAATTATTTTTTGATATAAAGTTTTTAGACCGTCCTGTTTAGGGACCGGGGTGACACAACTGAACAAGTTGGAGGATCTAAATGACTGATCTGCAAGTTTAGGGACCGGGATGACACAGTTGAATAAGTTTAAGAACCTAATCGATCGATTTGCGAGTTTAGGGACCGGAATGACACAGCGGTACAAGTTTAGATGGACTTTACTCTTTTTTTTATTACCCCCAGATCCGTCTATGTGAGGAACCACCGGCACTGTCGTCTTCTGACCGCGCCGTGGATTCCTCACCCTCCTGAAGCTCGAGACGACGTTGTTGTTCCCTCCACAGCAAGGTCAAGGTCATGCATGCGCACTATATAAATTTGTACGTACTATATGATTGACGTGCTCGCTTATCGCCTGTATACCATGTGGAACTATGTTTTCTTATATACAATAGTTCAATTTTCATAATGCAAAAACGTGCAGTCAAAAGGAGATTTCACATAGGTAATATGAAATTGTTTGTTATAGTGTTAGTAAATAGCAAATCATTTTATCACTGTATCAACAAATACTAAATAATTTGGAGATGAAACATTTTAAATATACCACATTTACTAAAGTTAATATAACTACAACATAAATCATTTTCCCAAGCGGCCGGAACATATTTTCGCAGAAGGGCAAAACAACTTCAGGTGCATAGGTGTATATGAAAATCATTATTTTCCTATGCAGGTAGTGCAACTGCTTGCAAAAATTGTATTTTTGCACGTGGGTGCGTTAAGCCTCCCGTCGAAAAAAAGTTGGCAAAAAATTAAAAATTTCAAAAACCAAAAATCCAAAAACCCTAGATCCATTCATAGGGAAAAAAATATCGCCAACACAGTCTGCGCCATCAATGTCGTGCCGAAGCTGCCTCTGTCATCACGTCAGGATCCGCAGACGTTGTCGCTCGAATCCATTGTGTCGTCATCGCTCGAAGCCACCGCCGCCGCTGTCATCGTCGCAGCTCAAAGTCAGCGGCTGTAGCGGATCCGTAGGTGAGTACGGTGGAGTGGCGGCAGGATCCACAAGGGAGGGGCACAAATCTCTAGATCTGCTCCTCCCGTCACCACCACTGGCAGATCCATGTGCATGGGGGTTATAGGCGACAGGATTCACATAGGAGAGGGAGAGGGTACGAGATCCGCCCATCCCGTGGCCGCCACTGACGGATCCAAGTGCAAGGACGTAAAGGTGGTGGGATCCACATGGTTTGAGGCGGTCGCTGCTCCCACTATTGTCGTCGCTAGCCCGAGTGAGAAGGGCTGATGGGAGTGGGATGGAGAGAGAGTAGGGGAGGAGGGGATAAGTGGGAGGAGAGGAGAGGGTGGAGGAAAAGGAGTGAGGAGACAAGAAGAAAAAAAGGATTGAAGACGAAATGGAAATGGAAATGATTACGGCGATTACCTTTTTTATATTATGGTAATACCGCATTTCTCATACTATTTCTTTATTTGATTAAGAGTTTATAGGCCCATCGACTTCTCAATTAGACATCTTACTTGAGTACAAGGTTAAAAGGAGACATTTTATAATTTACATAGTGTAACTTGAATTTCCTTATGTAAAGTTAACCGTGCGATTTTATCGTTCAATGTTTCTTATATGTTTTATCGGCTTTCGATCGATATCGATATGTTTCCATCCGTACAATCCGTTTCTGGTTTCTAATATTATTTTTTTTCTGGCTTTACTGTTTGCGATTCTGTTATATATATATATATATATGTATGTATATGTATGTATGTATATGTATGTATATATATGTATGTATATGTATGTATGTATGTATGTATGTGTGTGTGTGTGTGTGTGTGTGTATATATATATATATATATATATATATATATATATATATATATATATATATATATATATTGGATAATTTGCACCTAGGTGCATGTGCACCTACATTGGTACGTTGACAAGTGTCCTTTTGAGTTAGGATGGTGAGGGGTCATTACTTGCCAAAATGTACCTAGCCCACTTGATTCCCCTATAGAGCCTCGCAGAGCAAATAGGCATGGTACACAATGCTATTCCAGGATTCCCAGCATTACCCCTGAGTCCTGATACACGGGTTATAAATAAAAATATGCAGCTCATCAACGCAGCCCATCCCCAACCTAACCCCATAGCCTCGCAGGTCGCAGTTGCCTCTCCTTCCAAAAACTTTAACTTCTCGCAAGTCGCAGCAGTAGGGATCGACGCAGACGGGAGGCCGGCGAGTGCTTCAACACCACCGGATCTGAAGGAGCAGCAGGGACTCAGTGACTTTATAGTGGGAATCTTGGAACAGCTTCGACGGTATGGATTGTGGGTGTAGGTGTGCACGGGTGCAGATTTGCTTTTCTATATATATAGGAGTTGGATAATATGAACCAAGGTACATATGCACCTACATGGATAGTTTGACTCGTGTACATAATTCCCTTCATGGTGGCTGCAAGGTTTGGTACATGTTACAATTTTTGTGGTCAAAAATACCCTTCAAGTAGTACTAGAGTAGTTTGAACAAATATTTTTTTTACTTCATGAACAGATTAGTTGTTACTAGTTCAATATTTGTGGGTTTCCTTTTTTTTAAGTACTGTTATACATTTATTTAATATGTTGATAAAAATATATATTATATTTCTCAAAAATATATGATGTAGATTTAGTACAACATATTATGAGATGATATATGTAAATTGATATTTTATTCAAGAATAATAAATTTCCATCCCCCCCCCCAACGGTTGTACTAACTTTCTATGGGTGGATTTTGTGTTCTCTTTGTTTTGCATTTGCACTTTTTTTTTCTCATGATTGTCTAGTCAATTTATTTGGTATCAGTCTTTCAAATGTCATGCAAGTTATGAGTTTAGATAAAAATTATTATCTAAATGCTATTTAGAGATGTGTCATTTGCATGTTCCATTTTAAGAGAAATGTCATTAGTATGAACTTTGGGAGACCATTTGCACATTTATTTAGATATATAAATCATTTTCTACATGCTATTTAGAGATATGTCATTAAGAAATCATCTGCAAATTTTATATTTCATAGAAAGAAAGATATATGATATATCATTACAAACATGTTCAACAAATCTAAATATATATCACTCAACTATAAAGTGAAGAGAGATAAAAAAAATACCAATGTTTATCTGTACCAGTACAAGATAGAAATTTGCTTTGAATCAATGAATGCTTGTGCTGTGACATACTAATAGAAAAGGGCAATTAGGGAAGAACTCAAAATGTGACAGTGCCATTGTGTCTCTCCCCTATATAGTAAACCATCATCTTGTCATGGCATGGTACGTTTCACTAGCACAAATCTCAAGACCCTTCAATGTTGTAGATTGTTGGTGCATACGAAAGTTAATTCACATACCAGCCATATGAAGATGTGAAGATCGAGTGGGATTAATTTGCACAGTGAATTTGTTAGCTTGTAATGAAGTAGGAGTACTCACAACATAGTTACAGATGGATAATTATATATTGGAGTTATAAGTATAGACCATTGCCATGAGGTTATACTACAGGACATGCAATCTTTGCCGACGGTGAAATCATCGTTGGTTATCCTAGAAAACTGTTGGGAATGCTATGGCCGATAGTTTACAGTCGGGGATTTGTCAACTCGCTTATGGTGATTCTATATACCGTTGGCCATTACATTTCCAACGGAATATTGCCGACCGTAAGCCCGTCGGGCTTTCATGGATTTCCACTATGTCCTCTATAACAGATACCATGATTCCCTACAGGATAATTTGGATTACCGATAGATTGTAAACTATTGGCAATATTTGTTAGAGAAATAGTGAATAATCGATGACATTATTAGCGGTTTACATAGTATAAACCCAATATTAGCCACAATTATACATTGAGAAGCATTTTTCGGCAATTTCCCACCACTTCATCAGTATGATAAAATTGAGCAAATATTTGGCTTGATGCAATAGTTTTCTTAATGAAATTGAAGCTAATAGTTAGAATGCATGTTAAGAATATGGCTTCATCTAAGCACAACATCCCCATGATCATCACCATAGTAAGTGTGTAATAAACTATGAACATCTTCGAGTTACCTCTTGCAATAGATCTATTGCGCTCTATCCTGCTGACTCGTTGGTTCTGAAAGGAAATTAATTATAGTTAGCTAAACCATGATAGGAAATAAATAAATAAATAATCAGCTAAGCCACCACCCTCAGGTTCAAATCCTTTTGTCCATAAATTTACACACCCACAAGGTTAAGAATTCGCAGCTATTAATTTTCTCTTTAAGCAAGTTAAGTGACACATTCACGGGTGTATGTGAATGTGTCTCCCTTGTAATCATGTAAAATAAACAGACACTCTGATTGCATAATATATGAGAATTTTCATTCATTTGTTATGCTGATTTTCTTTTTCTGTATCTCTTTTTCTTTCAATCAGTTAGGCTCATCTCCACAATCCTGCAAGAGGAGTCAGGGACGCCGAAGCCGAAGGCCAAACAAATTAATCGAGGATGCAAGCCTGAAAATAAACATGCACAACTGTTGTCAGTGTCTCTACGACAGTAGATGTGTTTTCAGTTACACATATATGGGCAAATAAACTATAGTTGAGATGATGGCTCATGGGAGAAACCTCCATGGGTTCCAATCGCCGCCGATTGAGACGAAGAGCGACCGGGCTGGGGCGTGGTCGACTGGAGTCCGATTCGCTGCCAATCGGGATGAACTGCGAACCGGAGCAGCCCGTCATTGGCGAATTAAGTCAATCTGATCATGTGCCCTGTTCCTCTTCTGTTGGCGTCCGCATCTGTTCTCTTCATAACGAAGGTAGCGAGATCGTTTCCATTTGTTCTGTTCTTAGGAAGATATGATCGAGAGGCCATCTGAAGAAAAAAGAGATTGGACTGCTCGTTGAGAAAAAAAAACACGTACGGTCTGGTTGTTGAGAAAAAAAGCGTAATAGGGGCTTTATAATAAGCCCATGAGGTTAAATTTTTTATAGACAGTAATGATAGTACGATCTAAATAATCAATGGCTAAATCTTTTTAATTAATGTGCTTGTAGAAAGTGTCCAATTTTTAAAAATTGCCCGATTATTATAGGTATAGATATAGATATAAATAGATATCCCGATACTTTCCATTCAAATTTTAATTTCTTTTATTTCCTTTAGGCATAAAGACTGAATGTCCAGATATCCCGATACTTTCCATTCAAATTTTAATTTCTTTTATTTCCTTTAGGCATAAAGACTGAATGTCCGGTACTTTGATTGTGTTTAAGCAGAAATATAGGACAAACGAATAAAACGATGAGAAGAATAGCATCTACCCTATAGTTCAGCAAGTTGTTTTACTCATTACTCATTTGTCATGTCACACAACCAATGATCATCCAACGTCCCAGATCAGCGCGCGTGTCCCACGCCTCCCTCCGCATCCTCTCCCGCACCTCCCTCTGACCCTCTCTGCCGCAATCGCCGCGCCTCCTCCGCATCCGCGTGACCGCGCGCCTCTCACGAGTAGAGCACCTCCCGATCCGATCCAGAGTTCCAGACGGATCACCTCCCCTCCCCTCGGCAAATCACAGCGCCCTCCACCCCGGATCCCTCGCCTCCGCGTCGCCGGTCTGCCTTCGCGCCGCCCCCGGTCAGCGCCTGCGAGGAGGAACGCCTCGCCGGTCGCCTCTCCAGTCTCCCACCCTCCTCCCAGTCGCGCAGCTCGCGCTCGACCTCCGACGATTGCCTGTCGCCGCCGCCTCAGCTGGCATCGCCGCTGTCTCCTCAGCCTCCGCCTCAACCGGCATCGCCTCGCATCGCCGTCGCCTTGCCCTCACCGTCGCGCCGCATTGCCGATTTCTTCCCGCCTGTTTGCATCACCTCCACGGTGAGTCCGTCGCCGACCCCACGGCCGCGTTCGCCGGGGTCACCGGTTCCACGCCTCAAAGCCCGGTCGCAAAACCTTCCCTGCATCGACGCCTCAATGGCTGGCCCACGCGTCGTCGAAGCCAGGGGAGTCGGGCGCCTGAACGGTCGCAGATCATCTCCAACTGCCTCTCCGATTGATGAAGCCGCACCCTCTGATTGGTGAGTTCAACCATCGGCAGCACCATCAGCCGCCCGCGCTCTCTGATTGGACGAGGTCAGCATCATTGGCAGCAATATCACCTTAAACTTTGCTTGCATTATGTGATTTCAGCATTTCCCTTCTCTTCAGAACTAAGATTATTACTTCATGTTGAGTTTTCATATGAAGTATTCTTTATATTGCAGGTTCAAAGGCACAGAGAATCCACCATTACAAGAACATTACAAGGGGGTTTGTTTTTCAGCACAAAAGGTAGAAGCTTGTGACATAATAAGATATATGTGGAACAATTGTATAGTGTATAGGCACCAAGTACAGGGCTTGCGATGCTTTAATTTGATTCCGTTGTTATAGATCAGAAGCAGCCTGCTATAGATTAAAAGCAGTCCTACTGTCCACAAGGATCACTAGAAGATAATATGCCCTTTGAATGCTAAAACGGTCACAGTGTGACAACATGCTTTGAATGATGGCTTTCAAGGCTAAACATTTCTTTTTCAGATTTTCAGGGCAATGGTGGTCACTGGATTGAAGACAATGGAATTGTATTCTGATCTGTGAATGCAACTGAGGTACCACACTTCTTATGCAGCAAAAGTATGGTGTGATTCGTGAACCTTCCATGAACGGCTGAACTCGCAGGTCTAAACTTCATTTGTCCTGAACCTGAAGTTCTGAACTTCTACTTAAGTCAAGTAGTACTGAACTTCTTAATGACCGCTTGTTTTTTAAGAAAAAAAACTTGGTTTAATCTGTAAACTAACCGTACTTGTATGGTTATTTTGATGATTGCAGGGAGGTCAGGATCTTCAATCTCTCTGGTTTCAGGTTAGCAGAGCATATGTTTTGAGTTTTATTAAATATCGATCTTCTTGTGATATATATATGTACTCTGTATGCCTAATTTTTTCAGGAATATTATGGATTCAGTTTGGCAATCTGTTCTTCACATCTGGTACATCGGCAGGTACTCCTTAATTTCATTTCATTGAGCTTTTGTACAATGGTTCTCAGAATTTTTTTTGGTTATATTCCTTAATGGCTTCACTCAAATGCTTCTTGCAGGGGAAGAAGAGTTATATGCAGCCCATTTAATTTCTATGATTTTTGTAGACAGCATCAGATAGTACTGTTTGTTGTTTGCCATGGAGGTGCGACAGCAGGGCAGGTACGATCACATGTATACTCCATTCCAAACTTATAACTTCACTAGGCCATGCAAACTTGGATAAAATAAGTTAAGTATTGGATCGATGGAAGTTGCTTCTATCTATACTATAAAAAAACCCTTGCAGCTGATTCGGTGTGGATTGTTGTGCCCCTTGAAGGTACACTTGGCAGCCACCGTGTATTGATCCGATCCATGTGTGACCCTCTTGATCCCAGGCACTAAAAATTTATAGCGGTGACTTTTTTCGGTGGATTAATTTGTTAAATCAAATACCACATTTATTAAGGTAAGGTCAGGAAGGCTGTGGCTTCCACTTGATTGGTACTCCATAATAGTGCCAAGTAAAATCAGTCTCACTCTGTAGTGGTAGTTGAATGAAGTTCAGTTCCTTACAGTATTTGTTGCTTTTCAGATTTTTGTTTACTTCTCATTCTGTCAGACCAAATCATTCTATAGAAGAAACAATAGCACATATTTTATTAGCCTGTACAGAAACTTGCCTTTGCAGTGACATGGAATGTACTGGTACAATCAATACATAGTGTAATGAGATGTATATTTAAGATTAGGGCCTGGAATGTGTGAGAAGTAAAGTGGATTGGGACATGGTCTGAATCCAACGATCTGAAAATGAATGTTAGGGAAGATAAACATACAAATATTATACAGATAATTTTCTAAAGCTATGTTTCTTGTCATCACTTGTTCTGGATAAATAGGTATCTCACATTTAGTGATAGCATGTTTATCTTTGTCTCTTGCTGATTAGGGTTGCATTATTTTAATTAACATATTTCCTGTACATAAGAGATATGTAATAATACTGGATGGTATGTTTATCTTTGCCTCTTGCTGATCAGGGTTGCATTGTTTTGATTAACAACATATTTCCTATATAGAAGAGATATTTAATAATACTGAAACTCATTAGCTCTTTATATTAAAAGGACATATTTCTTAGAAGAGAGCTTGTCTAAGCATGGAAGCAGGGTTGAGGCCAAAAGTGGCATTGGAAGAGAGCTTGTCTATGCATGGAAGCAGGGTTGAGGCCGTGCTGTAGCGTGTAGTTTGACAACTTGACATGTTAAATGAAGGTTGTGCCAAAGTGGCGGATGCTACGACGAAACACTGTATTAAAATTAATAAAGTTGTAGCAGTAGAAAGATAATCTGATGTAATATTGTATTTTTTTTCTGTACACATGATAACTCAACTATAATCAAAGGATGTGGCTGGCTATTTATTCTTTAGATGGCTTCGATTGAACTTTTGGCTCTTGGAAGGATGTATGCCGCTGGAAAGCAGAAACATACAACAGGAATGGCTTGCAGCTTGCTGACAAATACTTAGCTTGAATGCTTGAATCAATGATAACCAAAAGAGTATTATAGTCATGGCAGAAATAATCAAAAGACAATATATGTTTCAGTAAAGGATATTGATTTAAGACATGCAAAAGAAGTAATGATAAGAAGAGTTATATATTTTGTTGTTAATACCTCCTATTATAAATATTTGAGGTTTACTCTCCGGTAGGGTTTAAAAAAAATTCAAACTTATTAGACTGGCTTGATAACAAAAATGTTTGGTTTTGTGTTTTCGGCAAGTTTAAAAATTCAAACTGACTTTAAATTTTTGACAAAATTCAACCATATTTTACCTGAAGTCAATGGTTTTTGCAGTAATCGGTTGGGTCGTTCGCGGTGCATACTTACCCAAAAAAAGATTCATACTTATCTATCTTGATTTCTCGAGGAATAGCTCAACCATTCTTTTTGGCATGGATATGCATTGTCCTCGTATAGTGTATATTGAATTGATTAGATATAATCGTTGATGATCTTGAATAAATAATTTTAAGTTATATCATAATATTTTTTTGATATATGACCTTGGACTGAAAGCTTAAATGGACAGATTTTAGGAACATTATTTTAATTGCAATCGAATTTTAATAACTTATTAAGAAAAATGTTATGACACCGTAGCGTTAGGACGGGTATATTACTAGTCACTATAAGGCCCCGTTGTAAGCGTAGTAGTCAACGGATTTTTGCTGTAAATTATTTGCACCATGCTTTTAAAAATACGATTTCTCATATTGGCCGTGGGTGATCTGTTTAGACTACTTGTTTTAAACTGTTCGTTGGCACCTTTTTGGTAAATACGTACTCAATCACTTAAATATTTACGGTGCTATGAAATATTATCAACCACCTCGACCTAGAAAAGCTCTTGATCAAGATGGGTTTAGAAAAGATAAAAACCGACTAGCAAAACTGATTTAGAGATCAAACACTTGTTTTGTGAGTAAATTGGAAGCATATCGCACTTTCACGGTGAAGGCATACGATTTACCGTGCAAATGCATAAAGATGGATGAACTATGATATTATTAGGTAGAACATAAAGTAGAAAACATGACTGAAAAAAGTTTAGGTAAAATTATGATTCGATTCATTGTCCAGTACAAGAGTCAGGAGTTAGAATCGAATCGACCGTAGCCCTTACAAAGCAGGTTGGTCTTACATCCACAAGCATTCTCCATATTAAGCATTCTCCATATTTTATTTTATTCAGAGATCAACTAGGACTAAATAAAACCTCATGTATAAGCAAACAAACACGAAAACAACCATAGTTTTGGATTTGGACTCGGGGTTGCCGGTCCGACCACTCAGACAACTAAGGTCCGACCGTCCCTATGCCGCTGGTTGGACCGACATCGTATAGAAGGCCCAGGTCCTTTAATTTCCAAATCCCGCTAAAATTTACTATATTTTGTACTTGGTGCCATATTTGGTTTTCAACACTGTTTTGTTACGTTTTTGTAACCCATGATATTTAATTTATCATCAGTAGACCATCGATCAACCTCCATCCGCGTTTCATCCAATTCAGACGCTACCTAAGAGGTTGTAGTTTCTTCGTCAACTACTTCCTCCGTTTCATAATGTAAGTCTTTCTAGTATTGCTTATATTCATATTGATGTAAATAAATCTAAATATATATGTGTGTTTAGATTCATTAATATCTATATGAATGTGGACAATGCTAGAAAGTTTTACATTATAAAACGGATGGAGTAGACAATATTACTTGGCTAGTAAACTAAGCTTGATCTGTTCTGCCATCTTCTCATATGATTTTTTTTTTCACAACTAAATGAAAAAAAAAATGCTGCTGCTAGCTACTTACAAAAGAGATATATAGCAGCCGCGTCAGCTTATTGCTGGATGAATGATGGAGAATAAGTGAAGAACTACGGTACACGCCCGTGACTTACCCCCTCCGTCCCATAAAAAATAAATCTAGTACCGGATGTGACATATTCTGGTACAATTAATATGGACATATGTATATCCAGATTCATAGTACTAGAATATGTCATATCCGGTACTAGGTTGTTTTTTTATGGGACAGAGAGAGTAGCTGTAGTTTCGATCATGTCAGACGGTCGGAGGAGCCGTTGAATTCATATTGTCAGACGTTTCCATAAACAAAAAAATCCAGCTGTGTAGGACAAATTCTTATGGTGCAAGTAAGATGTGCATGCAGATGCGGTTACTATGCCTATAGAACAGGAATAGATTAGTCTCTCGAAAGAATATCGCATTGTTTTTTCATGTTATTTAAATAGTTATAAGAAAATTAAAAAAAATTGATAAGATAAATTAATGTAGGATATATAATTCGAGAATCTATTTTATACCACTGAGTTTGTCATAGTTCAACAATTTACCATTGACATTCTCTTTTTATAATATACTGATGACTTATCAATTATTCAACAATACGCCTTTGGCCTCCTTAAAAAAATATGAAAGTTTATATATAGGTTTTATTTTTTTTTACATTTTGACATTTTTAAAATATAACTTATATGTTATATGCTATCTAAAATGCTTTTTTTTTGTGTTTTTGTTTTTAATGTAAATTATCTTTAACATGCTCCATAAGATTTTTTTTCTATTATCTCTTGTGTAAGCAGTTTGTCTCGATATACCTAAAAATATTTTTCCTAAAGTATAAAAATACCAAAAAAAACTTAAAACTTATTATATACAAACTTCTCTGTTGTGTAAGAAGGTCAAATAAAAAGTTTCATATTTTGTTTTAAATTCTAATGAGATAAATTAATTGTTAGCCTCGTATGTCTCTAAGGGTATTTTGGTTTTTTTTCTGAAAAAGGCTCAGCACAGTGGTATATTATAAAATAATTGATAAAATCACTGGTATTGTTGATTTCTAGTATCGGCAATATAATTTATAAAGTGCACTAGATCAATGAGAGATGGTGACACAAATTTATACTGGTTCATACCCTCGAGATGTGGTAATACCCTACTCAAGTTGGTGCAGATTGGATCTATGCCGGTGTGCGCAAGTCAGTGATGAAGCAGCCAATGGCGCGTATAAATGACGGAGTGTCTAACCCCTAAGGGTTTCTCCCGGCGCGGCGCCCTTTATATAAAGCTAGTGTCACCGGTAGCCAGTTGATACATGCCATCTATTTACAAGGGATAAGATTGATTTCCCTATCCTATATCTCTTTCTTAGATTACAAGTTAGCCGCATGGGCGTTGGGCACTTGGCCCATCCCATGCCGCACAGCCCAAAGGCCTTTCCTTAGGTACCCAGGTACCATGTACCCCATAGGTAATATTGTAGAAAGAGAATATTAGTAGTAAATCGTTGAATGAGATAAACTCAGTGGCATATAGGTAGATTCTCTCAACTCTATAAGCAAGCAACTTAAAATTCGATCCACACAAGTTGTAACAAAAAAAAATAATAAGGAGTATTGTGCACATACTTCAAATTCAATTTCATTCTTTTTATACTTAGAAATGCAGACTTGTAGTTATTGAACTAGGTATATTTATAAAGATTAATAATATTGTAATTTAAGTTCTTAGATTTGTTTGTTTCAAATTTTAAAAGAAGAATGAATCACAAGCAAAACATGAAACGGAACAAGTATTGAAAAAAACATAAATAAGTCTATGAATGATGGGGCTCGAACAAGTTGGTAGGAGTAAACCAATTTAACCACCGCACTAGCTTCGCTAACTAGGCAGCGGCGTGGGGTAGGGTGACCGGTGGAGAAGGCAGTGGCAATGCCCGGCGCCTACGACGGTGGTGCGACGGAGCGAGCGCGAGGGGTAGGGTAAACGGGGGAGAAGGCGGCGGCAGGTTGGCACACTCAACCGTGAGCGAAGATTCCTTTTTTTTCTTTTTCTTTTGATTGATCGGTAATTTCTGTAACCAATGTTTATGCGGAGCAGAGATTTCTAATTCCAGAGATGGATCGAACTCGTGGCATGAACCATTGGATGAAAAGATCTAAGGGTTAGAAAAGACGTGTGGATGAAACTGGTATATTTTTTTATTAGTATAGATTTGTAAAAAGCACCACATATGTCACTTGAAGTTTGATGTTCTATCCCATAAGTCCCCATAAGTCCTTTTGTTGCAAATGCTCACCTATGTAATCAAAATTTTTTTTTTCAAAAACCACCCTGGTGCATACGTGATTAACCAAATAAATATGTTTTCATATATTATGAGCCACTAATCAATATGTCTTTATCAAAATTAAATACTTCTAGAGTATAGTCTTGACATGATAAAGCCTGAGTTCCACTCGAAATACTCACGGCCATAATTGGCCCGATCTTTTGGTGAGTTGATGATAACTACGATTTGGGAGAAACGTTGACGACTCGACTACGACCGTACAACACGTTGTTGTGTTGCGCCTTACCGATCGATACACCTCTCCATGCGTTGTTTATCTTGCTGATGCAGATCAACCTTATTCCTACAAGCAAATCGAATAAACAAGTAAGAATAATAAAAAAAACAATCTGAATTACAAATATAAATTGAATACAAATGATAAGTTGGGGTTCTGTAACGAGTAAACCGGTGATCTAACCGATCACGGAATTACACGACAAAGTAAGTGAAACTAAACTTTAATCTAATCAAACCCGAGAAACGATGCAGAGGTACCTAGCTATTTAAGGTGGTGGGAGGACGACCTAGGTGCCCTAATAGTCATGATCCACCTGGCTGTGGTGCACCCTACATGGCTGGGGTGCACCCCACATGGGCCCTACTTGGGCCGGGGTCCCAGATGAAGTTACAATCCCATGAGGTCCATTATAGGCGACGCAGCATATTGTTTCTTTGATTGCGGTTATGATGGAATTTGGGAACACGACTGGATCACAGGCCAAAAACAGAGCTCGTATGCAGATTTGGCGGCAGTTTGAAGTTAGCAATGTAGCTGGTGGCCGAATCGGATTGTAATACTTGGAGGACTTGATATTGATATCCTTTTATTGATTCATGATGTGAGCACGGTTGTATCCATAGTAGCCATAGTTATATCATGACACTTTTTGAGATTCCACAAATAAAAAATGCTTATGAGAGCTTAAATGTTTTCGCACTAAGTTTCGCTATACCCAAAACAAAATTTTAATGAAACATGAAAAAAATAATCTAAGATTGAGACTTGGCTAGCTTAGCCTGTGGTAGCCCTAAAGCGATATTAGGCTGATTCACTTAAAAATATATGGACTGAGATGGTTTTTACAAGAAAACAAAGTAAGGGATGGACATTTGTAATAAAATAATAAAATGTCAAACGTCAAGTGACATATGAGGTGCTTTTACAATTTTCCCCAAATATAAGGAGGCTGTTGACCATGCTGTAACACATGTCCTAAATATTTTGGTTACTTCTACAATATGCTTTCTCCGTCCAATAATATAAGAGTATTATTTCCAATTTAGCACAAATTAAGTAAGATGAAAAAGTGCATCTAGGACTTCAAGAGTACACATTGGATCTGCACGAAGTACACTTTTGAGGAACAAACTATTGAACTTCGGCATATTAGTACCAAGTACACGTGATTTTCGCCGTGCTTTTCTCAAATGGGAACGGGTGGGACTACTGATCGTTGATGTACTGATCCTATCGGGATCGGGATAACCAAAACTTCCTATAATCCTGAACAAACGCCCGGGGTGGGGGTGGGTGTTGTGTTTAGTATGTACCACATTGGATGTTTGGAAACTAATTAGAAATATTAAACTAGACTATTAACAAGACCCATTTCATAACCCTGAACTAATTCGCGAGATGAATCTATTGAGTCTAATTAATCCATGATTAGCCTATATGATGCTACAGTAAACATATGCTAATTATAGATTAATTAGGCTTAAAAAATTTATCACGCGAATTAGCTCTCATTTATATGTAATTAGTTTTGTAAGTAGTCTATGTTTAATACTCCAAATTAGTGTCAAACATCTAATGTGACAGGGACTCCAAGTTGGTCCCTGGATCCAAATAAGATCCAAAGTTGTGTTCGGCAAGTACTCTTCCTAACTTTACTTTCTCGTTTTATGTAATCATGTTTTCTAAACTGTTAAATATTATATTTTCTACCAGAAGAAATTGAGAAATTTGTCTTAAAATTATATTAATTTATTTTTTAAGTTTTTAAGCTAATACTTAATAAATCATATATAAATAAGTAGCTCGTTTTATGTACATAAGAGATGAGTTACGACCACAGCCAAGAGACCATTATCCCCTATAGTATAGTGCTGGAGAGAGGGAGTATCTGGTTGTCGTTCTCCGGGTCAAAACAGAGGTTTCCCCTACGATTTGACAATTGTGTAAGCAAACGACACCGATCCAACAAATCATAGTGTTTCCTTGCTTGTTGCCGAGTTGTAAAAGTTCGATTTTGACAACGCAGTTGGGGAGGAACCACTAGTGTTGTGATGGTAGAGTCATGGGTGTATGACTTCACCCACCAAGATTTAAATTTCGGTGTCCATAAATATTACACACATGTTGCTAGGTTTTCAACATGACTTTAGTGACATCAGAGATGTGTTGTTGTTTTTGTCTCTTAAGCATTTAGGAGACGCATTCGTAGGGATGACTGTGGTGTTGCGTGTATAGTGGTGTGTGCGTGCGTATGTCATGTTTGCTTCTTTTTTTTTTTACATTTGATCCTTTTAGAAATTTATTTTACAAATCGGCCCTAAAAAGCTTATTATTGAAGATTCTTTTCGTGGCGTCAGTGTTATTGGCGCTGTGGTCAAATATTGTTGTGCCAATTATGTTGGTGCCATGTCCTAACCCTCCGGTGAAAGCAAAGTCACTAATGTGAAGGGGATGGCGCCAATGTTGTCGACGCCGATGACCAATTTATAATTTTTTAAAAAGAACCTATTCGTAAAAAAAAATTCAAATTATAATAAAAAATATTTACATATAGGACCCTAGAGCAATTATTGGCACCGAAGACCTATTTGTAAATACTTTTATTACAAGTAGGTTCTTTTCTGCTACGAGTACATCCTTTTTAAAATTTTACAAATATATTCTCGGCACCCAACGATAATTGGCATCGTCCCCATTCATATTAGTGACTTAACTTTTACTGGGGCGAGGGGGATGACGTCAATGTTATTGGCGCTGTTATATTGGACCACAGCGCCAATAACGTTGGCTTAAAATAAGTTTTTCAAAAGAACAGGAAGGTGAAAAATCTAGTCTGTGGTGTAATTAAAAAAATAAATTTTGACAACGCAGTTTTGCGAGCCCACAGGCCGAAATACCTGACTCACAAACTCCGGAGTAAGTTCACTTTGGGTCCCTCTATTTGTCACCCAATCTGATTTTTGTTCCTCGATCGCAAAACTGGGTATAATAGGTCCCCCAACTTACGAAACCGTTTAAATAAGGTCCCTCGGCAGTATTTGACTCCGGTTTTAGCTAAGGTGGCGCCTACATGGCAAATTTAACTCGGTCTTTGTCTGATGTGGCATTGAAGTGGCGCTTACGTGACAAATTCGATCCAAAAAATAAGAAAAACCTATGAGACTCACATGTCAGTTTCACACACACTGTAACAAGAAAATGGTGGGGTCATCCTCACTACCCCTTCTCTCTATCCACTCTCTTTATCCTCTCTCTCTCCCTCTTCTCTCTCCAGCCGGAGGGTGGGGTGGAGCAGTGGCGGTGGTGGAGCGGCGGCCAGAGTTGAGTGGGGAAGGAGCGGTGGCAACCTTCAACATAGTATGTATTTGGGGTAAAATTTGTGTGTGTGCTACCTTCTCTCCCATGACTTCTTGGATTTGGGCGACATCGCCGGAGATGCTGTGCATCACCTCGCCGGTGCTCACCTCCGTGTCAAAGAATCCGATCTCCTGCCTCAGCACCGCCTTCAGGTACTCACGCCGCATCCGCAGCGCCGACCTCTTGCCGATGATCCTCCAGCAGGTGATCTCTGCTTGCACAGAGTCAGAAACTCATAATTCGATTCAAGAGATTCCCAAGAATTGAACTTTGTCATGGTTAATTCGCAAAAATGCTCATCAAGATAGGCTCCTACGACGAGACCTGCAGCAAGGAACGCCATGTACACACTAATCTGCATCAAGCAAAAAAAAACGAAAAGGAGAAGATCGGATTTGTATCAAAGCTGAGAAATCGAAGAAGGAGAAGGAGACGTGTAGCTGTTCGTGGTTGTCGCGCGAGAAGGAGACCTCGCGGGAGGCGGCGGTGGCGGCGGCCTTAGTGTCGCTGTACCGGCGTCGTGGCCGTGCGCGGAGTAGACGGCGGAGTCGGCAACGACGCTGTCGTCGTTGCTGGCGAAGGAGGTGTTGTGTTAGGCACCACGACGATGGCGCGGCTCGCGTCGGTCACCACGCTCTGCAGCTCCAGCCGCCTGCCGCCACCGGCGACGGGTCTGTGCGCCGACGAGGAGATGTCGCGGTAGTGCGGGCGGGTGGACCGCCTCGACATGTAGTAGTCCCTCGCCGTCCGCCGAAACAGCGCGGGGCGGGGAGGAGTGGGCCAGGCACCTGATGGCGACGACGGCGGAGGGCGGCGGGGTGGAGGAGTCGGAGTGAGGAGGAGCCGGAAGGAGGCGATGCGGGCCGGCGGTTGGCGTCCGAGGGAAGGAGGCAGCCACACGGCGGCGCCAGACCTGGCACGACGATGGGCCGGGCCGAGGCAAGGGCGGTGGCCGCAGTGGTCGTCGTCGCGCTCCACCCGCCGCTCGTCGCCGCTCCACCCGCCGCCTGCCACCTCTCAGCTCCGTCGCCACCCATCTGCGCCGCCCGCCGCCGCTCGCTATTCTCAGGGGAGAGAGAGAGGGGGGAGAGAGGGAAGAGGAAGTAGAGAGAGGATAGAGAGAGGGGATAGAGAGAATGGGTAGTGAGGATGATAGGTGGTGTCCACGTGGGCCCCATCATTTATTATTATTGTGTGTGAAACTGATATTTGGGTCCTATAGATTTTATTATATTTCGGATCAAATTGCCACGTAAACGCCACGTCAGATAAAGACCGAGCCAAATTAGCCACGTATGTGCCACCTCAGCTAAAACTGGGTCAAATACAGCCAAAGGAACTTATTTAAACGGTTTCAAGTTGGGGACCTATCGTACCCGGTTTTGTGATCAAGGGACGAAAATCAGACTGGGTGATAAATAGAGGGATGCAAAGTGAACTTATTCCCACAAACTCCTATGCCCGAGAAGCTAAACAATCCTGGCCCGGCCCATTACTTTTGATGGGCCAGTATTGCGGGCCCAAAAAACAGGCCTTATCGTCTCGTGGAAGCAATCCGCCAATCACGCCTTCCTTATAAACGCCCCCGCTTTGATTCCTCTCCATTTCGAAATTTCCGACCGTTGCTCCTCCCCCTTTCCTTTCCCCACCCAACGGCATCTCGTCTCCACGCGAGGGATGGCGGCGGCGGCGAGGGAGGCGGCGGAGAGCCCGAACCCTAGGTCGGCGCCGCGGCGTGCGGCGGCGGCGGCGGCCAAGGACGCCAGCAGCTTCCTCAGCCCGCGTTTCCGGTCGGCGGCCGCGCAGGCCGGGTGGGACGAGGAGTCGCTCCTCCACGCGGCGCTCGTCGTCGAGGACACCCCCGTCCGCGAGTCCCGCCGCAGGAGGCGGGCCTCCACCACCTCCTCCTCCGCCGGCGGCGGCGGGAGCGCCGGATCTAACACTAGGTAGGTAACCCGATCCCGCCTCTGCCTTCCTCACCTTCCCCTTGGTTGGTTTCTTGTACCTTTTCTTGGTTCCGGAGAAAACGTTGCGTTGCTCCAGGAAGCGGAGGTCGTGGAGGCAGCCGCCGGGATCGATCCCGCCGGTGGTTTTTCTGCTCGACGACGACGAGAAGAAGCCGGATACCACGGCAGGTTGGCGATTGCTTCTCGCTTGCTTTGCTGATCGATCCATTTCTTGAGTGTTTCTTGGTGGGGTATCTCGAATTCTCGATCCGTTGTTAATTTGGGGGATCTGCAGATGGCAAGAAGGAGGTGAAGGAGGAAGAAAAGAAGACCGTCGTCGTTGGGGAGAAGGAGGCCTGTTCCGAGAAAGCAGCGGCAACCAGCGAGCTGCCCTGTATGGATCGCCTCCGGGAGGAGCTGTCTTGTGCTGTAAGAGGGATTTGCTGCTTTATTTTATTTCGATTGATATTTTGCTCTCGCATAGTTGATTTGACGTTCTTGGAGAGTAATTTGTCTGTTGGATTTTTTTTTCCTTTTTTGCAGATATGTTTGGAGATCTGCTTCGAGCCGAGCACCACGCCTTGCGGGCACAGGTAATTTTATACTGTACTGTTTATTCGAAAGGAAGTGGCTTAAATTCAGTAAAAAAAGTATCATGAAACAAAGCATTATTAGCTTCTGCAATCGAAAGGGATTTGGCATAGAGATGCATGTATGTATCTATCAAAAAAGCAGTGCACTGACAATTTCAGGAATTAGTATGCTTTTTGCTGAATTGTGTTGGTGTTTTGCATCAGAATAAGGCAAATTTTATTTGCAATCTGGATTTGCAGTATAGATATCCTGCAGTTTGTTGTCTGTGAGTTATGATTTTGCTAATATTTGGTCATTTTGCATTTTATTATGTAGAACAACATTACTCATCTCACTCGATAAATTGTTCCGTAAATCATTTACTCAAATCATATTTACCACTATTCAGTCATCAACTACTAAGTTCAATATCACTTCCTTGAACTTGATTAGGTCAACACATTTTAGTGGAAACTGGAAAACATGAACTGGAATCAATTTGAACATTTCCTTGTTCTGCATAACTTTTGGAACCTCGTAATAGTTGCCCTTTTCAGTTTTCACTAGTCAGCTTCTGAAAAATATGCTTAAATTTCAGGAATTAGTATTATCTTTTCTGTTTAGTGAATTATTCGTCGTCATTTGAATCTGGACTAAAGTGAAACATATTTCTAGTCCATATTTACAGTTTTGAGATACCTTGAGTTTTTTGCTTTGAGTTCGACAGGCATCTGCCTGGAAGAAAAATGATAACTTTCATCTATCATAGCTGGAGTAGACAGAACAGATACTAAATATTTCCTTAAATTTGGAATTTACCACCTTTTACAAGTGGTACTCATCTTAGTTTTCATATAACCGTTCATAAATTGTTAATTGAAATTCTCTCCCCAAATTGTATCCAATGGTACCCTGGTGTTTGATTCAGGAACAAATGTTGTGAGTGAAATGTTGTTTCCTGAGGGAAAATTCCGTTGTCATTTACCCATTTGGACCTGGATTAAAACAAATCATATTTGTCATCTAAAGATTACAGTTTAGATTACCTTCAAATCCTTGCTTTGTCTGTGTTGATAGTTTGTCAGCTGGAATACGGTAGTTAATTTTCATCCATTATAGCTGGAGTAGACAGGCTGGATACTAAATATTTGTTTAAACTGGAAATTTATCATTTTTACAGTACTACTCTTCTTAGTAATCACTACAACCAGTCATAAATTATTCCATGAAATCATCTTTATCTCCGAATTATATCTACCACTACCTGGTTAAATACTGTTTTCAACTTGACTTACAGAACAAATGCTTTCTCTCTGAATTATAATGATTTCTCTCTGAGTTTGATTGAGAGAACAAATGTGAGAGAAATGGGAGCTGTCAAATGTTTTATTATTCCTTTCTCAATGGTACAGAATTACCAAGCTCATATTTTTGTCACTAATTTTGCTGAACAGCTTCTGCATGAAATGCTTAAAACATGCCGCAGCTAAATGTGGAAAAAGGTGTCCTAAGTGCCGGCAATTAATCAGGTAAAAAGCTCTACAGTTGTGCAATGTCATTTTCTCGTAGCATGTATAGTAAAGAACTAAACGAATTGTACCCTGCAGCAATTCAAGATCTTGCACAGTCAACACAGTGCTCTGGAACACCATCCAGCTGCTATTTCCTAGTGAAACCGAGGCAAGGAGGACTTCAATCGCTTCATCCTCAGAAACCAACGACGACTTGGCGCAACAAATCTCTCAAAGAAGTAACAGCATGGCACAAGGTGGCATAAGAAGCAGCAGTTCCAATGGCATCGGCTACATCACGCAGCGCAGCACAAGAAGCAGCGCTACCAACAACAGGAGCTTCACAACAACAGGCAGCAGAAGAAGCACCTTCGTCGCACAGGAGGGCAGCAGCACAGCAACAGGGAGAGGCTTTGTCCGGGCTTCGCAGCTGGTCCCTAGTGCCAGGGTCGTCTCAGTGAGATCACACCAGTCTGATGACGCGGCATTGGCGTACAGGCTGCAGCAGGAGGAGTTCATGACGGCTTTCGAGAGCGAGGGCGAGAGGCAGCCACCTCGGAGCAGCAGCAGCACGGTGTCCGCTGCTCGAGCGAATCTGAGAGCTATGGCCTCCCGGGCCATTCGTCTCCGAGCTCGTGGCTGGCCTGTCTAGTTTTGGTTGCCTGTTTGTTCTAATCTTTTCTGCTTACTAATTGCTGATTCTTCCTCATAGTCATAGCAGAAGTGTCGTGGGGTATTCTATTGAGTGGACAGATGTAATTTGCTACGAAATAATGGTTCTTCGCTGTGTCAAGTGGCCATCATTCGTTGGCACTCACAAGGTTCAGTTTGTGTAACAGTCATATGGCATGTCAAGTTAACTCAACTTGTTCAGTGTTATTGTTCCTTGCTAATTCGAACATAGTCGGTTTAGCCTGCTAATGTGCCTGCTTAGCTTTTATTCCGTTTTGTTTTTTTTTCCCAGTCAAACTTCTTTATATTTGACCATGCTTATAGAAACATTTAGCAATATTTACAATACAAAATTAGTTACATTAAATACTATATTGAACTTGATAATATGTTTGTTTTGTATTGAAATATTGCTATTTTTTCTATAGTTTGATCGGAAAAAGTCAAAACGACTTACAAGATGAAACGGACATTGTACATTATAAGGGTAAGTGTTAAATCTTCCCTTCAACTCAACGGTGGAACCGCGCCTGGGCTTGAGACATGGAAAATTTTTGATGGTCTTATACTTAGAAATTGATCAGTACCATGCCTCAGCCCTAGGCTTAGGGAGTGTTTAGATCTAGAGTATAAAGTTTTGGTATGTCACATCAGATATTATATAGAGTGTCGCATGGGTGTTCGGGCACTAATAAAAAAACTAATTATAGAATATATCAGTAAACCACGAAACGAATTTATTAAGCCTAATTAATCTGTTATTAGCAAATGTTTACTGTAGCACCACATTGTCAAATAATGGAGCAATTAGGCTTAAAAGATTCGTCTCGTAAATTAGTCGTAATATGTGCAATTAGTTATTTTTAGCCTATATTTAATACTTCATGCAGGTGTTCAAACGTTCGATGTGATAGGGTGATTTTGGGGTGAGATCTAAACACCCTCTTAGACTGATTATTTAGACTGCTTGTTTGGACTAGTAAGAATAAACATATAGCCTAACAATCCTACAAACAAAACCATATGCTTCAGCGTCTCGTCCTCCAACTCCTAGAAGGCTAGAATCACTGTGATATAGCCGCGGCGGTGCATCCGCTTCAAGTTCCAATTCTCAATGAAACTGACTTGTTTCAAATAAACTGCAAAAGCACGCACAAACGCATCACTATACATACGAACAAACTAGCTTTATTTTTATTATGTTGTTGTTTTTTTAGAAAAAAAAACTGACTTTACTATACTAAATAATAGATATGCTTCTTTCCATCTATAGATGCGCTATAATTTATTGGGTAAATTGTAATTGCGATAATTTATTGGGTAAATTGTAATTGCGAGGATAGAATGTAGAGAGGGGTTTTATGGACCTTACATCGTACTTTTGGATAGCTTTAGTCTTTAGTTTTGAGCGCTAGGCTTAGAGAAATCCTGGCTCTGCCACTACTTCTATTCGCTCCATCGAAAAGTCTAAAACATATTTCTTTTTATACAAAGACCAATGAGCAATTAACTCATTCACCATGTGACAAAACCAATGAATATGTAACTACTCCCTTCGTCCCACAATATAAGGGATTTTCAGTTTTTGCTTGCAACGTTTGACCACTCGTCTTATTCAATTTTATTTTGCAAATATAAAAAATAAAAAGTTGTGCTTAAAGTACTATAGATAATAAAGTAAGTCACAAATAAATTAATTAATAATTTCAAAAAATTTTAAATAAGACGAGTGGTCAAACGTTGTAAGTAAAAACTCAAAATCCCTTATATTATAGGACGGAGGGAGTAATAAGCACTAAAATAGTTTCTTGGGTTCCAATCAATAATTTAATTTAGCACATTGTGACTAAAAAAAAACTTTTTTTTTAAAAAAAAACCAAAGAATGTACTCAGTCTTAAACTTTTTGATGGAGAGAGTACCTGGCAAGAAGCATTGTGTGATTAATAACTACTCCCTCCTTCCTAAATTAATCATCATATAATAGAATCCATGATTTCTCAAATATAACCGCATGGAGACACGGATTTAATCGAAATACAATTTTTTTAGCATGCTAGGGTGTAATTGGCATAGTGTCTTAAACGATGCATGCATTATGGGCCGGAGAATGTGTGCATGCTGTCTTGATTGATGTGATTTAAATTATGCTTAGTATAGGTGTATAAATATATATATATATATATATATATATATATATATATATATATATATATATATGATGATTAATTTGGGAAGGAGGGAGGGAGTACTGCTCAATCATATGGTTGCTATCGGCAACAAGGAATAATTAATAAATTATGCTATTTGCAGTGTCAATGAGTTTTTGCTAGTATTTTTTCCGTCCAAAAAAGGCAATATAGAAGGGATGTGATCCCTCCTAGTACAATGAATCTAGATGAAGGGTAGTCCAGATTCGTTATACTAGGTGAAGTCACATCTTCTTCTAAGTTGTCTTTTTATTAGGACAGGGATGTAGAACTGAGTCACTGGAGCCGAGGATCGGTGAGTTTTTTTAGGGGTAATTTGGAACCATGCCATTATAATTTTGCAAAGTTTAAGATATGCCATCGGTATCTCAATGACATGTAGGACCCACATTAGTCAATGACATGTGGGTCAGGATGGCATATCTCAAATTTTGCAAAATTATAATGGCATGGTTCCAATTTTCCTTTTTTTTTTTAGCGGCCCTAAGTTATACCCTACACCATCACGCAGAAACAGTATGAAGGCCCATGTTACTACCGAGTTTGGTAATAAACATTGGGCATGCCCTATGCTTTCATGATTTAAGAATTTTGTCATGTAAACCTGGCAGCTATTTCCTGTACTCATGAAATTTCTTCTTTTATAGGGAGATCTGACCATATATCCCCTGTGACGACTGCTAGAAAACGATAGGCAAACAAATAATAAAAAACAATGGATCAATCACAGAAGACACGAGATTTAACATAAAAAACCCTTCCAAAGCAGGAGAGAAAAAACCATGGGCGCTAGCCAGCAAAATATCTTAACTATATCGGGGTGAGGTTACAACGCCGAATGGCAGCTTAAAAGAAGTATATATGAAGGTGAAACCCTAAAAGGTTAACGATCCGTACCCCCCGCAACCCCTAGGCGTCCTGGGCCTCCGCTTCGCTCCATTCGAAGTTGGCCTTTATACGTGTGCAAATGAATTTGGATCACAACTCAACAAACTCCACCTTGAGACAATTTCCTTTTTTATAGCATAAATCAATCCTTCACCCTGAACACAACAAAGAAAAAAACACTCTCGGCGCCAAATAGCCTCTTGGGCTAAACTACTATACCAACTAAGCTTGAGCAAAGCTCAAACTTAGCAATAGGAACTGGCTTTGTCATCATATCAGCAGGATTATCATGAGTGCTTATCTTGCATACCATTAGCTTACCTTGTGTGACTACATCGCGAACATAATGGTACTTGATATCAATGTGCTTTGTCCTCTCATGGAACATCTGATCTTTAGCAAGGTATGTGACAATTTGACTGTCACAAAACAAATTAATGCAAGAATCAACTCCACAATACTAAGCAAACAATCCTTTCAGCCAAACTGATTCCTTACATGCTTCAGCAATAGCCATGTATTCTACTTCAGTGGTAGACTGGGCAACAATAAGCTGCAATGTTGCCTTCAAACTCACAGCACAACTACCAATAATAAACACATAACCTGTGAGTGATCTTTACTTATACAAATCAGTAGCAAAATCTGAATCCACATAGCCAACAAGTCCCTTATCAGTCCTACCAAACTTCAAGCAAGCATCTGTCGTGCCTCGAAGGTACCTGAAAATCTACTGAACAGCCTTGCACTGTTCTTTGATAGGATTAGTCATGTATCTACTAATCAAACTTATAGCATGAGATAAATCCGGACGAGAGCAAACCATGACATACATCAAAGAACCAACAGCACTAGAATATGGAACCCTTGAGATGTATTCTACCTCCTCATCTGTACTAGCATATTGTAAAGCTGATAATTTAAAATGAGGTGCAACAGGAGTACTAACAGGCTTTGCATCATGCATGTTGAAATGCTGAAGAACCTTCTTATTGTTACTTTGCTGACTAAGAAATATCAAACAAGAATGTCGGCCACTAGTAATTTTCATACTTAGAATTTTTCTTAGCAACACCAAGATCCTTCATCTCAAACTCACTAGTCAATTGTTTCTTCAATATAGTGATTTCTTCCTTGCTCTTGGCAGCAATCAGCATATCATCAACATATAATAGTAAGTATATAGGTGATCCATTAATAAATTTAATGTATACACAACTATCATATTCAGACCTCTTGAATCCACGTGACAACATAAATGAATCAAACCTTTTATACCATTGACGAGGAGACTGTTTCAAATCATATAAGGATCTTTTCAACTTGCAAATATAATCCTCCTTACTAGGTATTATGAACTCTTCTGGCTGGTCCATGTATATCTCCTCCTCAAGCTCTCCATGTAAAAATGTTGTCTTCACATCTAACTGCTCAAGCTCAAGATCATGCATAGCAACAATACTGAAGAATGTACGAATTGAACTATGCTATACAACTAGAGAGAACACATCATTATAATCAACACCAGGAATCTGACTGAGGCCTTTTGCTATTAACCTTGCCTTAAACCTCCGAAGCTCACTAAGAGATAAACCCTCATTTCCCTTGAATATCCATTTGCAATGGATGGTCTTCTTCTGTTTTGGCAAGCGCACAAGCTCCCATGTGCCATTCTTCTCGAGAGACTGCATCTCCTCCTGCATAGCTGAGATCAACTTCTCACGATCATCAGAAACAACAGCTTCAGTATATGCAGCCGGCTCATGAGTATTCACTTGTTCAGCACAACTAAAAGCATAATAAACCATATCACATTCCTCAATTAGATGGACTAGAGCTCCACAACTCCTCTTTGTTCTGCGATGTGCAATAGGTTGATCTTGTGGCTGCAAAACAGGGGATGAGTGCTTGACAGTATCATGAACATCATTATCAACAATTTCAATTTCCTGATCATCCACGTGCTCCACTTGCACGCTGACATATTGCTGCTCCTCATCAGAACCACCTGGTATAACATCTGTGGACAAGCTCTCATTAAACATAACAGATTCATTGAAAACAACACTCTTGCACATGACAATCCTTTTAGTTTCAGGATTCCATAACTTATATCCTTTTACTCCTAAACCATAACCAAGAAACAGACACTTAATAGCTCTATGCTCTAATTTTCCATTATCAACATGAGCATAAGCAGTGCAGCCAAAAACTCTCAACTATGAATAATCAGCAGGTATACCAGACCATACCTCAATGGGAGTTTTCTTATTAAGTGGGGTAGAAGGTGACTTGTTGATCAAGGCGGTGTTAGTAGCCTCTGCCCAAAAACGCTTGTTCATACGAGCGTTGGACAGCATACAACGAGCCTTCGAGATGATGGTTCTGTTCATGCGCTCAGCCACACCATTCTGTTGCGGAGTGTACGGGGTGGTGTGATGCCTGACGATGGTTTCCTTCCTGCAGTAATCATCAAAAGCATCCGAACAGAATGCAAGAAATAAGGCCACACTTTTCTAGAGTAATTATCGATAATGGTAAGCATATAACGAGCACCACCATTAGAGGGCTTACGAGAAGGCCCCACAAATCAGCATGTACATAATCAAATATACCTTTGGTGCAATGAACTGAGGTATTAAATTTTACCCTCTTGTGCTTACCAAAAACATAGTGCTCACATAACTTCATGTTACCCTGAGTACAGCTATCCAGCAGGTTCCTCTTCATCAATTCTACCATACCAAGTTCACTCATATGTCCAAGACGCATATGCCACATGTTAGTCTTACTAGGTTCATCATTAGAAACAGTGGTAGCGGTAACAGAACCATGCAATGTACTTCCTCTAAGGACATATAACTTTGCAGAATTCAGATCACCTATCATATAAACGAGAGAGCCTTTTGATACCTTTACAACTCCACCTGAACTGGAGTATTTGTATCCTTCTGCATCAAATGTGCTGAGAGAGATGAGATTTCTCACCATCCTTGGTATGTGTCTCATATCTTTCAGCGTACGTGTCATGCCATCATGCGTCTTGATCTGAACAGAGCCAATGCCCACGATCTCACGTGGGTTATCATCTCCCATACGCACGACATCTCCATTCTGCACAAACTTGTAAGAACTGAACCAATCTCTGTTAATGCAGATATGAAACAAACATGCGGTATCAAATATCCATTCATCATGACCAGCAACACAACCAGCAAAAACAATAAGACAGTCTCCTGAATCAGAGTTTTCAGCACCGAGACGACAGAGGCCTTACCATTGGATTTCCTTTTCTCCTTATTCTACAGCTTCCAACATTCTTCAATGAAGTGATCTTTCTCCTTGCAATACTTATAGAACTTCTTACCTCTGGACTTCAAACAATCTCCACCGGTTCTGGCTCTTGCCACGATCGTTGCTGTTGTTGTAGGTTCTTTGCTCTGACCTGCAATGCTTCGCCCTTGGAGGATGACACGTCAGACTAAACCATACCTTTCATCTTCTCCCTGTTCTGGAGTGCCTCATAAACTTCCAAAAGGATTAGTTCTTCACGGCTTAATAGTATGGTGTCACGGAAATTTGCATACGAACTAGGAAGTGAGCATAACAATAGAAGACCTAAATCTTTATCATGAAACTGTACCTCGATCGACACTAGGTTGGCAACGATCTCCTTGAAGACTGATATGTGGTTCAACATAGAACCAGTTTCCTGCAACTTGTGCGAGAACAACTTCATTTTCATATGAATTTTACTGGTTAGATCCTTAGACATGCAGATCAATACCAGTTTGAGCCAAAGTTCTGCAGCAGTTTGTTCCTGCAACACTTTTGACAAAATATCATTAGATAGATGAAATTGAATCAGTAATAGAGCCTTACGATCTTTCCTCTTCTCCTCAGCGGTCCATTCATCCTTCTTCTTTTTCCCGAAGCTTTCCAGCGCCTCATCAAGATCCGAAGATTGCGTTAGAACAGCCTGTGTCGTAACTTGCTACAGCGAGAATCTCGTCTTTTAGTCTAGCAGCAGTAGATCATACTTCATCGATGCCATCCCGGAACCCTAATGTGAGAACAAACTCTGATACCACTTGTTAGGAAATGATAGGAAAACAAACAATAAAGAACAATAGATCAATCATAGAAAACACGAGATTTAACGTGAAAAACCCTTCCAAAGCAGGAGAGAAAAAACTATGAACACCAGCCAGCAAAATATCTTCACTATATCGGGGTGAGGTTACAATGCCGAACGGCGGCTTACGAGAAGTGTGTTATATATATATATATATATATATATATATATATATATATATATATATATATATATATATATATATATATGAAGGTGAAATCCTAAAAGGATAAAGATCCGTACCGTGACCCCCCTAGACGTCCCGGGCCTTCGCTTCGCTCCGTCCAAAACTAGCCTTTATATGTGCGCAAATGAATTTGGATCACAACTCAACAACGGCGACATGTGGAACAGGAGAATAAATCTTCATTTCCAATCTAGAAGGAGAGTTCGTGATCAAATATCACTTGTTTAAATGATTAAGAATCTTTTCAAAATGCCCTTTAATTCGTGGCACATCTTCACACCATAGAAACTAGTACAAACTCAATTTATGCACTGTCTTCATTGAATTAATTCCTGGTAGTGAGCAACTACAATTTGAAATTGTCACCTACCTCACCCGTCGAGCAAGAAGCAGCTGTAGTGTAGGTAGCCTGGGCCCTTTGGAAACAAAAAACATGAAGGAGGGGACAATCTTTACTGTGGAATGTTCCATGACAGAATTGCACGGAATGAACATCCAGCAAATCAGTCCCGAAAGAAGTGGAAAAATAGCTCCCTGATCTTGTCTTCTTGCAGCTTGTCATCGCCTGTCACACCGCAGAGAGATCAGACAACTCATCGGTCGATCTAGTAGTCTATTACTCCGTAAAACGCTTACCAACCCACTATGCCCCGTCTGTTCCCAAAAGTTTTTCCAAAAAAACATCACATCGACATCGAATATTTAGACACATGCAAAGAGCATTAAATATATATTAAAAGAAAAACTAATTGCACAGTTAGAGAGAAAATCGCGAGACGAATCTTTTCAGTCTAATTAGTCTATAATTAGCCATAAGTGCTACAGTAACTCACATGTGCTAATAGCGGATTAATTAGGCTCAAAAGATTCGTCTCGTCGTTTCTAGGCGAGTTATGAAATTAGTTTTTTCATTCGTGTCCGAAAACCTCTTTCAACATCCGGTTAAATATCCGATGTGACACCCAAAAATTTTAATTTCACGAACTACAGGCCCTATATTTCTTCTCTGAAGAAGAAGTTTCAGACGATGGGTTCAAATCGCTTTTAAGACCAGGAAGTACAGCGGCGCCAGTCTAGATCCAAAACTTTTCTTCAAATTTCTAATTTTTTCATCACATCAAAACTTTTCTATACACAAATTTCCAACTTTTCAACTAAACTTTTAATTTTGACGTGATCTAAACGCACCCATACTGTAAGCAGCGTGAACCACTGAACTGGCGCTACGCTACATCTCTGAAAGTCCAACGTTTGTAAAATCATTGACGCTGTCCAGGAATTTTTCCATTTGACCGTCACCATTTTTCCCTTGAAGAATCATGTTGTCCGGTGCATATGAAATTTTTGGAGATATTATATTTTTTGAAGTATAAATTTAGTTTTTTTTCTTTTGGATTTATTTTTTCTTTTTTTCTTTTTTTGCCATGTGGGGGGTGGTTAGTCCAAGTTACCCAACATGTGGCTCTGTCCCTCTTTCCAATACTACAAAAGAAACACGAGCTTTTCTCCGCTACATGAAGACGTCCGATCAAAGGGGAAAAGTACTTTTTCGGCAAAATTTATAGTATTAAGCTAAAGTTTGGCGGTCATTAATCATAACAAAAAGAACCATAAATTAATCTCTAAAGTTTAAAATTCGATATAGCTTACAAGTTACAAGAGAAATACGCCACTTATTGACTTCTTTTATTCATTAGGCACCATATCCTGTACTTTTACATCGAAATCACACAGGCTTGCTTCTCTGCTTAGTCACAATATTACCAGCTCCAGCCTCCAGGTTACTTAGCAAGCACAAAACTTTAACCCTTATTATTATCCCAAAACATAATAAAAATAATAAAAATCTATCTATCGCTAATCATTACTTAATTTAACTTAAACCTCACTAAGCTCCTCTCCCTTAAACTCGTACGCGTCGCTCTTCCTGACGGCGACGAAGAGCGGCTCCTTCTTCCTCGTGGCGAGGCCGAACGTCTCGTCGAGGTTGACGTCCTCGGCGCGCACGCCGGCGGGCAGCGCCCACTCGAAGTGGTAGAGCAAGCTGGCGAGCGACACCTGCACGGTGGCGAGCGCGAACGTGTAGCCGGGGCACCCTCGCCGCCCGCCGCCGAACGGCAGCAGCTTGTAGTCCGGGTCCTTGAGGTCGATCTCGCCGCCGCCGCCGGCGCTCTCGAACCTCTCCGGCGAGTACTCCAGCGGGTTGTCCCAGATCTCCGGGTCGCGCCCCATGGCGAACGTGTTGATGAACACCCGCGTCCTCGCCGGGATGTCGTAGCCGCCCAGCGTGCACGGCGCGACGGACTCGCGCGGCACTAGCAACGGCACCGCCGGGTGCAGCCGGAACGTCTCCTTGATGATGGCGCGCATGTAGTGGAGCTCGCCGAGGTGGGACTCCTCGACGCGGCCGCTGTCGCCGACGACTCGCCGGACCTCCTCCTGCGCCTTCTTGAGGATCCGTGGGTGGCGGACTAGCTCCGTCATCACCCACTCCAGCGTCGCGAACGTGGTGTCCGTGCCGGCGACGAACATGTCCTGGTGGTTGTTGTCACGTCATGTCAAGATCAGAGGAGGAGCAACAATGGCGGCGAGTCAATTCGAGAGTTTTAATGGTGGGTATTAATGGCGTACCAGGACGAGGGCCTTGAGATTGTCGTCGGTTAGGGGGACCTCGAGGTCGGGGGATTTCTGGACGCGGAGGAGGACGTCGACGAAGTCCTCGTCGCGGTCGCCGGGGATGCGCTGGCGGTTGCCGCTGATGTGTTCGTCCACGATCACGTCGCAGGCCTCGCGGAGGTCGGCGAGGCACTTCTTGAGGCGGCGGCGGAGTCCGGTGACGGTGCTGGCGACGGGCTCGAGCTCGGGGAAGAAGTCGCCGATGGTGAACCCGGCGAAGAGGTCCTGCGCCTCGGCGAGCACCGCGCCGAGCTTGTCGCCCTCGCCGTGCGGGAACCGGCGGCCGAACGCGACGCGGCAGAGCACGTCGTTGGCGAGGTTGAGGAAGCACTCGCTGAGGTCGACGGGCTTCGCCGGCGAGGTGTTCTTGGTGAGGTGCGCGAGCAGGCGGCGGAGCTCCTTGACCCTGACGGCGCCGTACGTGGCGACGCGACGCGCCGACAGGAGCTCCGACACCACCACGCGGCGCGCCATCCGGTGGTACGGCCCCGCCGGCGCGAACGTCACGTCGGAGCAGCCGAACGACAGGAACTGGCCGGAGAGCAGGTGCGGCCGCGACGCCAGCGCGGCGTCGTTGGTGGTGAGCGCGGCGCGGGCGAGGTCCGGCTTGGAGATCACCACCGCCGGCACGCTCCCCAGCCGCATCCGGAACAGCGGCGCGCGCATGGTGCGCGCCAGCTCGGCCAGCGCGTGGTGCGGCATGCCGGACATGAGGTGGAGGTGCCCGATCACCGGCCACCCCGGCGGCGACGGCGGCAGCCGCCGTGGCTTTGACGACGACGACCGGCTCCTCCTCAACGCGACCAACACGTACGCCGCGGAGAGCACGAGCAGCGCGAGCGACATCGTCGACGCCATGGTGAGCTCCATATCGTCGAACACTTGGGGTGCACGTTTGGTCCAAGAAACTTAAGCAGCAATGGAGATGTGTTGGTATGAACTAACCGTGGTTAAGTGGGGAAGGGTTTATATAGTGGGTGGTTGGTTGGAGGAGAGGTAGATGCACACGTTGGGCACTGAAGATTTTCATTAGATTTATCACATGAGTTGAAGAGATCAACGTTATCTGAGATCAAGGTGTGGAATGCGACAGATAGTGTATACTTGTGTAGTACTCTAACTAGTAAGATGGATGTTGAAACAGCGAATTAATGTGGAATTAATTGCATCAAATTATTTATGCATAGACTACTGTAGACAGAAATATATAATCATCATGCATGATTGCATTAGTTGCTACCATCCAAGATAAGGAAATTAATATTGACGGCATGAACAGTAATGTGATAGAAAGATGGCACGTGTGAAGTGCGTATCGACCAAGCACGCTCCTCCTATACTCCTGTGTCTAGTTCGCGAAAAGAATTTTTTTAATGTCACATGGGACGTTTGACCGGATATCGGAAGAGGTTTTCGAATACGAATGAAAAAAATAATTTCATAATTTGTCTGGAAATCACGAGATAAATTTATTAAACTTAATTAATCTATCATTAGCACACGTGAGTTAATGTAGAGATCCAAAAGCCCAAACTGATTAATGAAGCAATTCAAAGCCCTAATTTCTGAAGTTTAAAATTGGTTGCCACGGCTCAGTCAAGCATGCCCCAACTACCAACCAGAGAGGTCTGACCTCTATATTTTATACTTTATATGTTCTCCCTTTGTTTTATACTATAAGCCGTTCTTTTCTAAACAACCGTAGTTAGGTTTCACTGAATTTATAAAAAAAATTAACAACTTCCACAACACCAAATTATTTCTTTTAAATATAAAATTGAATATATATTTTGATAATATGTTCGTTTTACGTTGAAAATGTTACTATATTTTTCTATAAAAAATTATCAAACTTAAAAAGTTTAGCTAGAGAAAAAAATCAAAACAACTTACAATATTAAACGAAGGGAGTATAATATGCCCACTTTACAGTCACAGATGTTACATATAAAGCACAAAGGCTTTGTTTAGATCCCAAACAATTTTGGCCAAAAACATTACATTAAATGTTTGGACACATGCATGAGGCATTAAATGTGGGGAAAAAACCAATTGCACAATTTGCATGTAAATTACGAAACGAATCTTTCGAGCCTAATTACGCCATGATTTGATATGATGCTACCGTAAATATTTGCTAATGACGGATTAATTAGGTTTAATAAATTTGTCTTGCAGTTTACAAGCGAAATCTGCAATTTTTTTTTGTTATTAGTATATGTTTAATACTTCAAATGTGCGTCCGTATACTTTAAAAACTTTACACCCAAAGAACTAACCACACCCAAAAGAAATAAAAATCATGCACAGATGTCATTTGAGAGGAATATATAATGTGCCCGCTGCACTTTGACTTAGTGAAACGGACAAATGGACAATACTGCAGAAAAGTCAACCCCCATAAGGGCTGTGCTTAGTTCACACTAAAATAAAATTGAAAGTTTGGTTAAAATTAGAACGATGTGACGGAAAAGTTGAAAGTTTATGTGTGTAGAAAAGTTTTAATGTGATAGAAAAGTTAAAAGTTTGAAGAATCTAAACACGGTGAAGGTTCAACAATCTACCCAGAAGCCAGATCCGGAGTCAGAAAATTTGGTTTTCCATTATTTTATTAAAAAAGTAGAGAAGAGTTTTGCCTTTCAAATATCACCAGCAAATAGGTACAACGGGAGTAGAACGTTTGCAGTATGAAATGCGCACCGGGTGGAGATATTTCATCATTTGTGTTAATTAGCATTTTGAAAACTAACCTTACTTAAAAAACATAATAGAACTTAAATACATGCATGAGTGCCGTACATTAATATGGAAAACAAAAATAATTTGACATGTTGAACATTCTTGATATAATTAAGGGTTAATTGGATTGGTGCCAATATAACTTTAACGGTTTTCAAATACATCGTTACTATTTAACAATTTGTAATCATGCCATTATAATTTCCCTATTATTTGATATATGTCATTACGTACCCTTTAGACCATTCTACAATTTTTTTTGGACTAAAATGCCCTCGTCTTCCTCCTCCACCCTCCTTTCTAAACTTCATCCCTTCTCCCCTTTCTTCTACTGGCTGCAGCTCAGCTTCTCTCCTCCATCTCTCCATCTCCTCCATCCCTCTCCAGTCTCTCCAAGCTTGAAAAACGTGTGGCACTCGCAGCGTCGCCGCTAATTCATGTGCACGCGCTGTGACTTAAGAGCATGGAAGGAGGTGTCGGGAAGGCCAATGTTATCAAATGACAACAGCGTTCAGATGTACTGTGTGCGTGGAAGCTGAATCACTTGGACTTCGGTGGCACTGCATGCACGAGTTAAGTTCGCTGCCCCCGAAGTAGCAGCCACTTTGAATACACCATGAAAAGACAAACATTTAAATACCACAAGTTCAGTGGTACGGAACCATATTTGAATTCCATGTGGCATATATGTCACATCAATATTACGTAAGATTATGAAGGGATCCCTGCAATCTTGGATCGAAATGACACACTTTATATTGGTGGAGAAATCATCTTTGATCGGTCTGGCAAAATCCACTTTATACAAGATTGTTTTTAGTCCCAGTTATAAAAATTTTGATCTTTAGTCCCGGTTGGTAATCTTTAGTCCCGGTTCATCCCCTGTCAAATATATGTCAGGGGGCCGAGGATCTTTAGTCCCGGTTGGTGTCAATAACCGAAACTAAAGATCACCACTTTAGTCACTGTTGGTATTACCAACCGGGATGATCTTTAGTCCCGGTTGATAAATTGAACACGTATATATAATCCCTATCACTTATCCTCTCCTCCACAGTTACAACTTAGGCAGATCGAATCTCGCCCCCTCTCCTCAGATCTATCCTCTCTAACTCTCTTCCTCATCCCCTTTCCTCCAACTCCTCCCCTTCCTCCTCCCCTTCCCATCCGGCGGGCGGCGGCTAGCGCGGCGGGAGGTGGGGCGAAGGCCGGCGGGGCCGCGCCCAGCGGTCGTGGCGAGCGGCGGCAGTGGCATTGTTTTTTCTTTTTTTAAAAAAAAAATTGTGATTCACTAAGATGTACAAATTTATGATTCATTGTTTGGATTTGTGATGTATTTGAGTATTTTTTAGGATATTGTGATGTATTTGATTTGTGTGTATAAGTAACTTTATGATTTGTGATGTGGATTTGGTGATGTGAATTTGGGACGTTACTTTGATTTGGGGATTGATTTGGGGATTTGCCTAATTGATTCGCGAGAAAATAAAAAGAAAAAAAGAAAAAAAAAGGGGACCATCTGGTACCGCCGCTATTATCTCTTTAGTCCCGGTTGGTAACATTAACTGGGACTAAAAGATCCTCTCTCTTTAGTAGAACTAAAGATCCCTATTATTTCAACCGGGACTAAAAATAGACATCTTTAGTTCCGGATCCTTACTCCCGGTTGAAAAACCGGGACTAAAGAAGGGTTTCCAACCGAGAGTAAAGATAGTTTCTCCACCAGTGTTAAGAAGTTTAAATAGCTGTATCTATAAGAGTTTTAGAAACTAAATGACATGGCCTCAACTTTAGATAGCTAGCGTACTTCACTCATAATATATTCGCAGTATATCAATAAATATAAAACAACATCGTACGTTGTATTCGATCAGGAGGAGCACTGAAGTACAGTGACGAATCCAACATGAGGCAGGTGTGCTTGAGCCCCCGCTACATACTGTTCAATTCTTCCGGATAAATAAGTTGTTAGGGAAGAAAAGGATAAATAAATACAAGATCACTATTAATTTCATAAAGATGCTTATATGTAAATATTAGATTTATTTTATATTTAGTCAACTTGGAATATATTTAGTCAATGCCATTCTTCTCCGGAGGAAAAGATGCCGCATAATGTGTACCCTAAAATTTAGTTCTACGTTTGCCGATGCTGAAGTACGGTGTACGAGACTACATAAACAACATCGTTGAAGTATACTCCCTCCGTCCAAAAAAAACAAACCCTAAATTTCCGTGTCCAACGTTTGACCGTCCGTATTATTTGAAAAAAATATAAAAAAAATTAAAAAGATAAGTCACGCATAAAGTATTAATCATATTTTATCATCTAACAACAATGAAAATACTAATTATAAAAAAATTTCATATAGAACGGACAGTCAAACGTTGGATACAGAAACCCAGGTTTCTCTTTTTTTTTTGGATAGAGAGAGTAAACTTGAATTGCACTAGAATATAATCATTCATCAATAAATTAAGCTCATGTACATTTTTTTTATCTTTTTAGAGAAGGGTAATTTTTACCCGGCCTCCACATCCAACTGGATATATACGGCCATTGAAATAGAGAACTTAGCACCGTAAACAACCCAATCTAAAATTCGCTCCTACGAAGATTTGAACTCAGAACTTTAAGGTACTACTCGGATAACTGCAACCACTGTCTCTCGTAAGCTCATGTACATACATGTATGAAATAGCTTAAAAGTTAAAAAGATGAAAAGAACAGAAGTTGCGCCGTTCGTTCACTGGATCCCCCAAACAGTCAAACGTCGGGAAGGACATGCGACGTGTTCCTCTTACGACGTGTTCGGTTCATAGGCCGTTCCTCTTACGACGTGTTCGGTTCATGCCTGCGAGACTTTCGTCGGTTAATCCCTCCTCTAAGAAAATCAACAGGATTTATCTTGTTTCTATTATATGTGGAATTAATCCCTTCAATTCGCTTATATTAGAGATTAACCGACCAAAGAATGAGCAAACTAATTAAAGGATTAACTAAATAAACTTTAGTGAGGTTAATTTGGCAGTAGCATGCAGGTCCGGGAGGTCAGCCACGGAATCCAAGGTGCCGCGGCGCCCATCGATTTCGATTCTATTCGATTTGACCGGGACAACCCGATACTACTCTCTCCGTCTCGAAAAAAACAAATTCTAAGTTTCCGTGTCCAATATTTAACTATCCATCTTATGTTAATCTTTTTATAATTAGTATTTTAATTGTTATTAGATGATAAAACATAATTAATATTTTATGCGTGACTTATCTTTTTATTTTTTTTAATGATTTTTTAAAATAAAACGGACGGTCAAACGTTGGATATGGAAACTAAAGGTTTGTCTTTTTTTTTTTTACGGGGGAGTACGCTTCAAACTACTGTAGTATCTACCAACCTAGCGGTGAGCTTAGCCAACGCCGGGGTTTTTTTGAGAACAG